ATCATTTAGCTTGGGAGTTTTGTTCAGCGTTTGAGACTGTATTCCTCATTAAAATTCACACACGATCCCACTAGCACCTTCAGCACCGTCAGCACCTTCAGCCCGTCATCGCCACCGGACTGGACATCCCTGGACCAACTGGTTTATCCCAGCAGGGATCATCTGGAAATCGGTTGTTGCGCCGATGCAAGCGCCATGTTTGCGATAAGCCTTGAATTCGATGGTAGTGACAAGTGAATTGGATGAAATGCTGGCACGGAAGTGGGATTGTTTTTTTTTGGGGGTAACTGCTTTGTGGTGGTTTGAAATGGAAACCAAGATCAAGCCACCCTTTGGTTCCCTCAAAAAGACAAACCCCGGTGGCTGTGACCAGCAATGAATTCAGCTGTGAGCCAAAATCGCGATGGACCAGCAACGAGTCATGTTGCAAAGTGGCTAGCCGCAAAACGCGAATCTTTGTGAGAACGTGCAGCAAGGGATTCATGCAACAGGAAAACAACCAGCACTCCCTAGATGCTTCCTTGAAACATCACCCTTCCAAAACGAAGCTCACTTTAACTTGACCCCAAAGGTGATATGTACAACCAAAAACCGAAGAACTACAGGGAGCCCCGGAAAACCGTGCCATGTTCCTGAAAGCGATGGCCTCATTCTTGAGGTCGGCTCGTCTCTTGTCGGACAAGCCGTTCTTCTTGAAGCTCTTGACGGCGCACTTCTCACCGTCTGCGGAAGCTCTGTTCAAGCGCTCGACCGAGGCTCAGAACGGTGGACCCCAAAATGGAACCGCGGGATCGCTCGTTGTAAAACCTGGGGGCTGATGAAAACGGACATGGGATGACCATTGGGGGAAACCGCCAAGTCAAGAAAGTGAGACTTTCCAGTAGATGGGAACAGGGTTGCCCATCATCACTTGGGGGGCCAGGAATATTGATCAATCCCCACTTGTTCACCCCGGATTTCCACCGACCGCTTGATTTTGATCTTCCTGGTGTTTCCTTGGAATCCGGAAATCACTTATGTGTGGTGCCCGACAACCCCCCCGAAAAAAAAAAAAAAAGTAGGATGAGTCTTACTGACATGCAGGGTTTGTTGACCTTCCCCAGATTAATTAAACCCGTCCTATTCACAGGCGGTGTTCCCTTCCTAATCCCGACAAAGGGACACCGGGACCCCAATCAATATCAAGCAGGGGTTTTACGCAGAGGGGCTAACATTGTTTCCCTTGTGTTTCCCTTCAAACCAAGCCCAAAGGTTGCTGGTGCTCAGCAAGGAATGAGAGAATGAACCTGGGGGTGGCCTTAAAGAAAACCACCAGTTGGATCCATCCCCTGCATCTCTCGAACCAGCAAGAAAAAGGGTACCAACTCCAACAGGCCTCCCTACATTTCCCCTTAATACATAACCCACCAAGAGACACTCTCCTTTCATGGCCCAAAAGGTGATGTTTCAAACCACCAAAAAGGGAAATACGGGGACCCCTGTCCAAAAGGCTAAAAACACACACACACACACATCCAGCTCGAGGCTTGAGCGAGCGCCTGTGCCCGTCGCCAGCTGGACTGGACCGCTCATGCCGGAGCCCAGCACCTGACGTTGGCGAGACCCAAAGATTGGTGGTTTGCAGCCCGGTGGCTTGGTGGTCATTTGGGGGGATCCTCCCGTATCCCTGCTAGTTGGTTTCCCTGGTTTGGAGGGATTGCCCTCTACAAGAACTAGGGGTTCAACGTTTGGCAAGTTGGACAAACGAACAAGCGGGGATACGGAGGGAGCGGGGATATGGGAAAATTCCCTTGGCGCCATAATATCAAACTTGGTCAAGGTGCATTTGGGGGGAATCCTCCCGTATCCCTGGTTCCCCCTGTATCCCTGCTAGTTGGTTTCCCTGGTTTGGAGGAGGGGTTGCCCTCTAAAAGAACTAGGGGTTCAAATCCCCACACCACCAATCTAAACCACCAACTAAGGCTAAGGGTGACCTGAGTAAAGGCTGAAGCAAACTGAACCTCTTCCTGTCGTCTTCGGAAAACTGGGGCTGCCTCGGAACAAAAGCAACAACGCCACAGAATTGCAGAGGACCGAAAAGCAAGCGTTCGTTGCGAGAGTGTGGCCCTCGTCTCTCTCATGCGCTCCCTCGCACGTGCGCGCACAGCGGGGGCTCACGTGCCATGGAAAAAGGCCATTGCGCTTCAGCGTTGCTGACACACACACAAAGTGGGGCTGTGTCAGCTACGGAAGCAGCTGCAAGAGAAAGCTCTTTGATGTTGCCATACGTTGGCAGCGGAACACAGCAGAACCTGAGCGATCCAGTCATAGGTGTCCTTTTGGGGGAAATAGACAGGTTTCCCTGGTATATAGATGATTAAACCGCCAGGCAAACCAGGGCCATCTATTCTTCGACCGAAACAAGCAAAAAGGACACCTGTGGATCCAATGGCTAGCGAGGCCTATGGCAGCAGCTCGACACCAACAGGAGATGGCGCCATTCCGGCGGAGCCTTGAACACGACGCCCTTCAAACCTTCTCAAAGAAGAAGTGAAACAGGGTTCCCTATGTCTCCCTTTAAACATCCCCGGCAAAAGGAACCTCACTTTAACCTTGTCCAAAAGATAATGTTGAAAGCTACCAAAAAGGGGAAATGTTGGGAACCCTGTCAAATGGCAGGAAAGATCCGTGAATCACCGACTTGGGTTTGTCTGTGCACCGACTAAACAACTTGCGAGCGCACCTCATATTATCTGCTCCCTGCAATCCGGCGAAGAAAGAAATTGCGAAGACGGCATGGTGATGGTGATGGCAGAGTGGTGATGGGTGATGGTGATGGTGGTGATGGTGGTGGTGGTGGTGGTGGTGGTAGTGGTGGTGATGATGGTGATGTGATGATAACGATGCTGATGATGATGATGATGATGATGATGATGATGAATCGTGTATAATATGCCCAGCCGTTCTGCCTCCCCTGACATATTATGTCTCATATTGTGTGCTGCATTTCTGAGTATCTTTGGTTGGTGGACTTCCACACAATTCACCGAGTCGCCAGCCTTGGCAGCGAGCTGGTAATCATCCGACAGCAGCCTGGACATGGAAATCGCAGCCTTTCCACCAAATCACCTGACTCAAACCCGAGCTGACGTTTAGTTCCATGGTTCCATTTGTTCACTACCCCAAGGTATATAAACCCAGGGGTTCCCTTTTGAGGACATCAACCACCCCTGAGTTTAAGTCTATCTTGGGGTAGTCAAAAAATAGAATGCTGGTTCTGCCAACATAAGCTGCCGAAGGTGGTCGTATCTGCGCTCCTGGTTGTGCAGTATCGACCAGTGATGGGGATCTTCCCCTTCTTCACGATGGCCTGGCGAAGAACGCACCAGTTGCAGGTGTGAATAGTGGCATGTGCGGCACTCGGATGCAATCTGGATGCGGGGCTTTTGGCAAAAGCGCAACGCTTTTGGCTGTCAGATCTTGGTTACTTGCTATACTGGGAAATGGATTCCCGGTGGGTACATCTCAATGCTGTGGATGGACAAAATCCTGCACTGATGGATTGATTGTTTTTTGGTATTTGCAGGGGAATCGAATCATTCCATGGTTTCTTAGGTGGTGCGATTTATGGATTTCGCAACCATCCACAGTATGTCTTTCTGTCATTTGCTCATAGAGTGCCGAGTTGCCGACGTGCCTATGCCAGAGAAGCAACAGAGATCCTGTTCAGGGAGAAGAGGGTGGAGGTTCCAGGACCCAATTGCACTAGTCTTCCCCACAGAGAAAATGGGTTTCCCATGCAATTCCAGGGGTGGAAGTCGCATGGTCTCCCAATTCCATTAGGGAGTACCTGGAGTCTCCATGACCCGAAATAAAATGGGTCCATGACCCATTTCTTTATTTTGGGTAGTGACCAACCACGTTTAACGGGCCAGAAGGAGACTCCAGGTAGGGAGAACACCAGGGGTGGAAGCCTCTCCCACTTCCATTAAGGAGTATAGGGATCACGTCAACAAGCCATGGCTTGCAGCAGCGAAACGAGATGCCGGGGTTGCCCCTGTGGTGTCGATCCACTTGGAATTCTCATCCACCAGGCTAGACCTCGCATTCGAGCGCGGCCGGAGAGATATGGGTATGGGTCAAAATGAAACCACCAGGGGATCGCAGGCTTTAGTCAATGTTTAGTCCTTGTTTCCATTTACCAGGACTCAAATTGGGGCACCCATTTTTGATATGAAAGCCATACTGCAAGCTTCAACGGAATCAGTGAAGCTGGCGAATCGACCAAAGCTCGCTGGGAAAGGGCCAAGAGGCCCTGACCAACCCAAAAGAGATTCGTCAAAACCATGACTCTGGGTGAATTATAATATTTCACCAACCTGAAATAAGGTGGTTGGGGGGGCTATTCCCCACATAAACCACCATTTGGGGTGAATTCGGTCCTGTGAGGTCGTCATAATTCCCAGATGACTTTTTGGGGGTTCAGTGGAAAACCCCTTTATTTCAACCAAAAAGTTAAAGTCTAAAGATCCAACCCAATAGCAGTCAAGAGAGATTCCTGAAACCCATGACCGTCGGCTCTGCCTTGTGCTGTCATCACGATCCCATTTGCCGCTGAAGGTTCCGCCCATCCACCTGGCATCTTTTCGAGCCGAGGGCAACCAGTCGGCTCTGGGGATTTGGATCCCCCAAAATGGGCGGCTTTTTGTTGGTGTACTAAAACGTCACCCCTTGAAACGGTTGCACCTCCTCTCTAGAAAACAGAGAAGGATGTGTTTGTTTGTGGATTTCCCCCGTTTCTTCCCCCTTCTGCCCCTTTTCTTGCTCTTTTAATATTCTCCAGGCGTGAATCCGCAAACACCACCTCCAACTAATTATCTAGATCCTCTGGGCTTCCCTTTTTCCACGGGCCAAGCCAGAAACCACCACCCCACCTGCTGGTGATGGCACGAAGCCCGGCTCCGCAGTAGAAGCACTCGTTGGATCCCATCTTGAGGCTTGGCGCGCAACAAAAATGCGGCGGCCGTTTTTCTTTTCCCCCCGCCGGAAAAGTGGGTCAATCCTTTGCTGCTCGTTTTGGATGATGTGAGATTTGAGCCGTTTTGGATCTGGTTCAGGGACAACAGAAGGAACACCAGCTTCTTCTTCTTCTTCTTCTTCTTCTTCTTCTTTTGTTGTTGTTGTCTTGTTGGGTGTATGTGTTCACCATGGACTCAAACCCAGTGATTGTGTGTGTGTTTTTCCCGGGAGCATCAACTGGGAGTCCTTGTGGTAACCTAAAAAATGGAACTCCAACAGAAGGCGCTTTGGGGGGGCCGTGCAAATGTTACAATAATAACTCCCAAGCCTGAAACAAGAAAGGTACGGGATTGACTGATCGAAGTAAAGGGTCTGACCCAAAGAGGGCTACATGTGATCTTACCATTCACATACCCAAGGCAAGACATCGACAAAATTCAGTGGCTGGAATGTGACACCACTGGATTTGTCGTTCGAATGACTTGCCTTGTCCAGGGCCAACCGCCTTGAGATTCGTGAGTTTTGGGTCTCAGCACTTCGGTTCCTTCCACATTGAACGGCATGTCAGCATGCCCCTGCTTTGGCTCAGCATCCACCGTTTCTATGAGATCCGTTCGACCAATTAAGGTTGGCTGCCTTCACGACACAGACTCTGCGCTCCAATTGATCCCATGCCCAAAATCAGCGCGCTGGTTCGCCCTAGGGGTCCATGGGATCCATGGCCAGCGATTGAGTCCCTTGGGCAAGCAGTGACTGGACCGAATGAGACAAACCTGGTAGGTCATAAGCCCCATTCACAAGGCAAATGTGACAAATGGGCTTGCAAAATGGCAACAGTGTTGGCCGCCTGAAACGGCAATGGTGTCAAATCATTTAATCCCTTGATAACCCACCAAAACAACCTGCGCCATGTTTTTTGTGCAGCAAGCTCGAGTGAGCTGAACCTGCTCGTTATAGCCGGCGAATTGGATTTCGCGGCTCCGCTCGGCACCAGGTGGCTCGGATTTGCTAGAGAGGCGTTGCGATGTTGCGAGTTCGGAGACGGTCAATATATTGGGGTGTGCAATTTGTTGTGGCCCCCCTGTTCAGGTTGCTAAAGGGAAATCAAAAAGGAAACCGCGTCTGGGGGATCCAAATCCCGTACCCAAGTGGGTGTGGTTGTCTAAGGAAATTGTTGGGGTTCTTGCAAAGGGAAGACACGTGTGTTGGGCTTCTGCTTTGAGACAAATTTATTGTCTTCTCAATTCAGGGAATATGAACCAAGCCCGATAGCAAAAAAAAAGGTAAGTCACTTCGGTAAGTCAATGGAACCCCCTTCGCAAATGATGGTAAAACCATTAGCCGTTGCTCAGAAGGGCTGTTGCGAAAGCCTGAGAATCACCCATTTGTGTTGCGTGACACCAGTAACTACAGACACACTCACGCACACGCGCACGCACGCACACACGCTGCTGGATCTCCTATCCAATACTTGGCATGTGATCAAACAACTGTTTGTGCTTTGTCCCCTAAAATGAAGAGAACCCATCGACCAACAAAACGAGTTCCTGGACCGAAGCAGGTTACCTCACTGAATATTCTCCGGCGCTCAGGAGTTCTGCCCTTGATAACCCTCAACCAACCGATCAACAAATATTACAAACGCCGATGCAAGCGTTGACTTTTGTACACATGGCTGAGCACCAACACACGCACACACACACACACACATACACAAACACAAACACAAACACACACACACACACACACACACACACACACACACACACACACACACACACACACACACACACACACACACACACACACACACACACACACACACACACACACACACACACACACACACACACACACACACACACACACACACACACACACACACACACACACACACACACACACACACACACACACACACACACACACACACACACACACACACACACACACACACACACACACACACACACACACACACACACACACACACACATCGTCCCAACAGATTGTTTCCAGCGAAAACACATACTCTGCTGTGTTTCGGATACTTGACACTGCGAATTTTAACTTGTCCATTATCCACCAATTCATGCAGCACATACGTTCTTGAGGTGGGTCAATTGGTGGACAACAGAATTCGGTGGGTCCCAATTCAAGTATCTTTGAGGGCATTCCCTCATCAAATGTCACAGCCAGGCTTCTGCACGTTGTTTCAAATGGCGCCACCGGGTGCAGACCTCGAATTCAGCCGGCCGGGGCTAAAGCCTGCCACTCGCAGCTCAAGCTATGCTTGAAGCGCAGTGTTGTTCGGCTCGGATTGACTTTTTTTCGTGAAACGAAGGCGGAGACGAAGTGCAAAGCCCCGGGGAGGTCCAGAAATCAGTGGCACAGTGCTTCCAGATCTTCAGATCATCCGGAATGCCCGGATTAGGGGAGCTTGCCACTTCAGGCAATGATCTTGAGTAGGCTCTGACTACACCAGAAGGCAACCGGTGGAGCCATCACCTAGAACCCAGAGGTAAGGAACTCTGCTTACCTATAGTGAAGGCATTGAAAAATAAGAACCTCACGTGTCATTTTGTTCCACGAGCTGAGAAACGTGGGCAGCGGTGCCCCTGCCCCTGAAAGTCCTTCAACCGTTTACCTGGACCCTCCGAATTCCCTTAACATTGGGCTGTTGCAACCCAGAACTATGATTGGTGAATTCCCTTTTTTATGGCTAGTTTCAGGCCTCAGCTAGTTTGGGTCCCAAAAAACAACAGGAATCCCCTCCCCGGGCATCAGACTCTCGTCTCTCAGATCGAGAGCGCCTCCCTCAGAGTTCCAACCTCCTGGAATCCCTGGAACCTCACGAGGCGATCGGAGGAGCGGATGGGTGTGTCAAAGGATGGGCGGTCTGCACATGAACGGAAGGAACCCATTTTTGGGGGTCGGTGCCCCAAAAAAGAGCCTTCCGACTCTAAAACTGATGGTTCATGTTGATCTGGGGTGGCGGGGGAGGGCCCACCTAGGGCTTCCCATGCCCCAACAAGGGCTCTGAACGAACCGTCTAAGGAAACTGAGAACCTCCGTCCTACGTTTACACTTAGGACCCCTAGTGATTGGTTTCCTTTCTTGCCAAACCGTCTGCTTTTTAAGGGCTTCCTTATGCTTCCTTATATTTCTCCCAGAAAAATCATGCCTGCCAAGCGGAAAATCGCAAAGCAAAACAAATAGGTGCTGTGTCAAACCGCCAAAACCCAAGAAAGGTTCTGAACGAAAACTTCGTAGGTGCTGATCAAAGGGTAAAAACCAGTTTGCCGAGTGGGGCCTTAATGATTCGACCTAAAGGATTCTGTGCTGGAAGGGATGTGTTGCTGTGGGCTCTGGGTGTGGTAACATCTGAGCTCTCGATACCAAACATCGCTCTTCACTTGACCCACACTGTGTCCACAAGGCTCTCGAGTACCAGTACCAGCTGGAAGGATAGTAACATGCAGAAATCGATGCTGGTGCGAGTCACAGTCACACTAAAGGGCCTACCGGCATATCTGCACCTTGTGCATTTGGTGCAACTCAAATTCGGCCAGAATGAAGAAACCACAGTGCCTATTGAGACACCCGCATTCCCGGCTACCTCCCAGACAGCCTGCCGCATAATGCCCAACTGTTCCCAACCACAACTATCCCCACCATCCAACCATCCGAACCTGCCAAACGGTGTTAATCATCCGCAATTCTCGAACGTCCCCCAATGTCCCATCGTAACCTGATTGATGAAATCTGCTTCTGAATGTCCACCACGCGTTTCTGAACTCTGTTCATAAATCGCATCGTGAGTGTGGGTCAACAGGTACCCGAAATGGAATCCTGGCAAATGGAATTAAGCACTAAACCCTGCGGTACAGCGGTTTAACCTTGACCCATACCCACGTCACACCTTTCCGACCTCCCAAATCAACGCCCCTCCAAAGCCGGAGGTAACACGGGAACTCACCCGGGAACTTCCCGGGAGCATCGGATGCGACCCCAGCCTGTCTTCCGGTGGAGGCGCGAAAGCGAAGGATCCGTGGCCCACCTGCGACATGGGCATGGATCAAGCGGAGAGAAAAGAAACGACTCGATGCGTGGCAGCGATTTGATTGAAGGCTCTCCCCTGTCCTGTGCTTCTAGAAGGGAAATTCGAAATGAATGAGAAACTACACAGAACCATTCCTATTGTTTTTGTTTTTGTTTTTTATTATACAAAAATGAATGGGAAATGGATAAGAAACTGGGGAAACCAACAGGAAACCCCACCCATTTTGGGGCGCCACGGCCATATGGGTGCGTCTTTTTTTGATGGTACCCTTTTGCGGGATGGTTCTTAAATGGGAACAACGGGAAAACCAGTACTTTTCTGGGCTGCCCTCAGATCCCCCGCTAACAGTTTACCTGTTCGTGGGTGAAATGGAAACTACCACTAAACACTCAAAGGCTAAGAAGCTAAGGAACTGGGAGCCACCAGGTTTGTCGGCGCGATTTTTCGGACGCGTTCGAGCGAAGCCCCGCCTCAAAGGCCAAGGGCCGCTCGGGAGGGACCTCGGGCAGAAGTCCGGAGGCGCCTTTGCCCCGGTCCGCGCTGGTGCGGGGTGGGACCCGCGCCTGGCGGCGGTCGGATTTCGCTGCGCGCATAGCCAAATATGCGTGCGTCGTTTTTTGGGGTGCCCCATTTTTTGGGTAGGTTTGAACGCGCAACCATATATGTGACATGTCTTTTTTTGGGGGGTACCCAATTTTTTGGTGGGTTTGAAAGGAAACCAAAAGGAAGCAACACCATGTTGGGGGTAATTACCCTAAAAAAGGACACACCGATTTAATTGGAACCCGAAGACGCGACGATGATTACGGGTCCAAGATGGGGGCAAATTTCTTGCTGGTGCGAGAGGCAGGGAATGACCGAGGTGTTGGGAATAAACCGTTTGGGACTCCCGAACAAAGGCCACCATACTGTGGATGGACAAACTCCACCTCTTGGAAACCATAAAATGCTTGTCCGTTGGTATTTGCGTTGGGGCATCGAATCATTCCAGGGTTTCTTGGGTGGTGCGATTTCTGGATTTCGCAACCGTCCACAGTAGGAGCCCAAGAACCTACAATGTGAAGTGGAAGTAGGATTCACAGTAGGCAATGTAGGGAAGGTAGGGGATGTTGTTGTTCTTCTGAAAATCAACTTTATGTTCTTTGATCGAACCCAAGGTCATGGCCCCTTTTTCGTTTGCCCTGGGCGCCGCCTCTGAGACCTCGCTCGCATCCCAGTGAAGCTCTATATGGACGTGTGTGTTTCTATGAGAGTATGAAGGGAAACCAAAAGGACAGCCACCATTCAAAAAAGCTTGTTGCGTCTCTTGCGTACACCCCCAGATGGAGATGTGAGCTTCGCATCATCACCTGAATCTTGTCTAAATCATATCCCCTGACAAATTTTGCACTTGGATGTACAAAAGATGTGGAAAAGCTATTGGAACCATTTGAGCATTCGCCAAAACCCTTACGTGACAAACTGGAAGATCGCCAAATCCTTCGTTTTGAAAACTCCCCTTCGTCTTTGGGTGGTTTTTGGTCATGTGATCTTGTAGTCTGTTCCCGTAGTCTTCCCGTGATCTTCTCGTAGTCTTCCGGTAGTCTGTTCCCGTCTTCCCGTATTCCCGTCTGCCCACAGTCTTCCGGTAACCTTCTCTATTGTACTTGAAACGAGGCGATGTTCACTGAGTTTTTGGACTCGCCTGGCCCTCGTCTCAAGGCCTGCTGCCCTGCAAAAGCCACCAAATGCACAATGAGAATCCTTCGTTTGAAAGACTCGCCTTCGCTATGGAGGAGCTATTCCACTCCAACACACATCGCGTGTACCAACCTTTTTAGTGGTACTGTGGACGGACAAATCCTGCACCACCTAAGAAACCCTCGAAGGATTCGACTCCGCTGCAAATACCAACAACTGCAAGAGTGTCGCCCACAGTTTCGTAGGTGCTGCGATTTTTGGGATTTCGCCACCATCCAGAGTATCAGTGGAAAAAACTGGGTGGTGCTCAGTAGGAATCCCCAAACGAAACCACCAGGATGGGTTTATAGGGAATCATTCAGATTCTCCCATGTTGAGAACCTCCAAGAGACCCGGCGGCGAACTCGCAGCCCCTCGGCTTGGATGCGGCGTTGCTCAAGCCTCGCAGTGGCCGTCCACCTCTCCAGGTCCTCAACAAATTGCTGGCCGGCGGGAAGCGCTTCTTGGGGACTTCGCGACGACCCCCGTGGCCCTGCTTGGGGCGAATGAAAAATCTAAAACGAAGGTCGAAAAATAAAGTTACGACTAAACATTGCAAACATGGCTCCCTCTCCATCTTTGAAAAGACGCCAGTTCTCAGCTGGCCACCACCACATCTAACCCCAGCCTGCTCCTTCTCTTGCTGCCAAATCTGCCTTGATTTGCTGCACTTCTTGCCTGCGCTCGAAGGAAGAAAAATCAGCTTGTCTCACCGGAAAGTTGAGAACTTGTCACGCAAACATTCCAAGATGCCAAAGAACCGGACCAAACCATATCCAAAACATTTCAGGCACAGGCAACCTTTTGCAAAAATCGATGGTCTTGGTAAATGGAACTTAAAACAACACTAAACAGTGCAAATCTATTTCTAACCAAACCAAACAAAAAGGACACCTGAGTCACAATCAAAACCTGGTACAAAAATGGTGAACCCAGAACCATGTAAGGAACTGAAAAGGCGGCCGCAACTATTTTCGGCTGGACTGTCCCTTACTCTTCATCTACCCGGGTTTTGCTTGTGACTCACCTAGCCTAAAACAACACACGTGCCAACTCTGGGTTCGTGCCGCTTTCCAGCCTCAAGGCAGGAGACAAGTGCTCTTTGAGCCGGAAGTCCTCTCCTGCGCTGCAAGAAATGGGTCTGTCCACTTTTTTACCCAGAGGGTCCAAGTACCTCATGAGGATGGCTTTTAGGGGGTAAAAAGGGGTCTAAGTACCTCCTTAGACATTAGAAGGTACTTGGACCCTCTGGGTTAGGATTCAAGCATCTGTCTCATAGACTCCCCAAAATGGTTGTTGTCCTGTTGTTTTCCCTTCAAACACCAAAAAAAAGGTACGCTCCAAACAGGACACACACACACAACTCCGTTGGCAGCAAGCAGGCGGATTCAATCCTGAAGCCTTGTTGGCAAAGCCGTGATCCTTAGGACCCAGGTATGGAGAAAAAAAAGCCTCACTCGCTCACTCGCTCACTCGCTCACTCGCTCGGGCCGCAGGGCCGCAGGGCTGGGGCAACGACATCCCCTTTGATCTGCTTTACCTCCTCGTGGAAGACATCGCCTTCCTGGGAGTCCTGAAATCTGAAAATTGGCTCCGTGCGCGCAGGCGATGTATCTACCCATGTCACCCGTTGGGGTAGATGGGGGTAAATGTCGTGCCGCTTTTCGGGGTTTCCTTTTTGTTGTGGCTCTTAAAGTGATTCCTTTGGTGGGGTCCAACCTTGAAAAAGGCACATCCATGTGGACAAGCGTTGCACACATGGGTGCATACATGGGCATGTCTCTTAAGATAGGGGGGATCCCCAAAATGTTTTCGCTTGTCCCGTTGGTTTCCATTTAAAACCACCAACCCCATTTTGGGATTTCCCTGAGAGACGAACCCGCTGCAACCCCCTGCCACGTTTGGTCAGTTCGGAGTTCGGAGTTCACACACGTGGCGCGAAGGCGCCGCGAAGGCGTCGCCTGTGCCACATCCTCGCCGGTGCTCACCAAGCCCGCGCCGTGCATGATCTCGGAGTCGGGGCGCAGCTCGTCCTCCTGGCAGATCCGCGGCTCCCGCGCTTCCCCCGCTGCTCTAGCGGAGACCGGAAATGAGGAAATGGCATGGGGCCATTGATTTTGGGTTGTGTGACCAAAACGAAGACCAGGAAATGGGGACATTGGTTTTTGATTTGTGGGGTGGGTGGCCTTTTGGGTGCCCTTCTTGGGTGCTTTGAAAGCCGAACGGAAATCGCCCATGGGGGACGAGTACCTCGTGAAGGGTGACACCAGAGCCCCCCTGAGACCCCACCTGGAAGCAGCACATGGCGTCGCCGGGAAAGCACATAAACCACCTTAGCTTGATAGCTGCGTCTCAACATGGACCCCCTGTTAGTTGCTATTTGGGGGTTGATCAAAAGGTCCATTGCATGGGAATACTAAATGGGTATGGGTCAAGATTAAACCACCAGTGGACCAGGGTTTTGGTTCATATTTCCACTTACCAGGGTTCCATTTGGGGTACATATTTTTGACCCACAGCCAAATGGGAAAACTTATCCTTGGTCATTTGGGGGCCAGAAGTTTTGATCAACCCCACCCTTGCCATTCTTTGTGCAACCAACTTCGTAAGTTACAGTCATGGTTCCAACTAGGGCAACTGGGGGGGGGGGGGGGTAGTGGGCAGAATGGTAACTCTTGGTATGGTGGCCAAAAGCTGTCTTTTGCAGCCCCCTACCAAAAAAATGAACAGATTCAAGAAAGAACAAAGCCTAAAAACTTGCCAACAACAGGTGAAGTAATATTTCTTAACACAAAAATACCTGGATTGAACCTTACGTGGGTACATCCCACTCGGGTGGGGCATTTTGAGAAAAAAACTGAGCGCCCGGCACAGCTTGGCCGTCATTGGTCAGGCTCTTTGCCTAGCAAAGGAGTGCCACCATTGAGCCCCATGCCCCATCCATTTTTGCGCCTGGGAAAAAAAGAAAATTTGTAGGAGTCATAGTTTCCCTTTAAAACCAACAGGACAATAAAGCAAACAATGCATTAATTTTAGTAAAGCTCGATGAAAAAAAAAAATGTGCCTAAGTAAATGGCCATTACTCTTTTTTATTACACCATCCTTGTACAAACAAGACACCAAAGTCCAGCACATCAACACAAACGATTTTGCTTTCTCGGGGGCAACAGCTTCGCTCCGATTTGGCGGTCCATCCTGCGAGAGTTCCGCAAGCAAAACATCGCCATCCCTCCAATGGAAGCTGACGCCTCCAACATACCTGGTGAGCATCTGGACTGTGAAAGGGTTGGGGTGTGCTGAAAAGCTATGTTGGAGGGTTCTTGGATAATTACGTTCCTTTTGGGGAAGCCCAGAACGTCCACTTCCTTGACTCTTTGAAGGGTCTTGAGTCAGTCTTGAGGTCAAGTCGCGACTCGATCTGAAACAGACTCGATCCGGTGCCCTGTTGCCTTCCGCTTTGGCGCCCCGCTGAGGTCCATAAATTCCACCGAATGGCTCTCCATGGCCTGCACAAAGAGGCTCCAGATCAGCCGGCTCAGGGACGAATATGGGTGGCCCGTCTTTTGTTGGTGGTACCCCTTTTGTCTCTTTGGGCGGGTTTAAACCCATATATGCCAGGATATGTCCGGACTCGCCGAAACACCTTCTGGATATCTGCATCCAGGGCACAGAATGCTACCCAAGATCCATCAGGTAGGCTGCCACAGGCTATGGTTTGTGAGTTGCACACCAAAATGTAGGCGGCAAAGCCGTCTGGTGCATTGTGGGCTCTTGCCTACACTTTAAACGCCGTAAGTCTTGTCGTGGTCTCGTGCTAGACAAACAAGTCATGTTGCCGTTCAGACTTCAGCGCGCAAGAAAGCGGCAGGCGTTCATGCCGAAGTTTCGATGCACAGCATGCCAAGTGCCAAGCAGCGTCAAGCGCCAAGCAACCGCGCGCTCTTTGCTTGCAACCGGGCGATGGAGATCTGCTGCCCAGCCATCAGGGACCTGCGCACAGGGAAAGCCAGGGGGTAAGCAAAATTCCGGCGCAGTTTGACGCTTGCCAGCCTGCATGCAAGCATTCAGGCACTCGGAAAACTTCTCGACTGCCTGAAACCAGTCACACTCCAATGGGAAGAAGGCCACGTTGGGTTGATTAAGCAACCACAAGTCATGCACAGTAACAGGTTGTCCCTCAAGTTCCCTACTTGCAATATTTAGGGCATCCATGGGCGAAATGGATTTCGCACCACCTGGGAAGCCCTGAAATGATTTGATTTACCTGTAAATACTGCAGCAAACAACAGCTTCCACCATGGTTTCATTTCGGTGGTGCGAAATGAATTTCGCAACCGTCCACCCTATCTCTCTGCATGCATCACTTCGTGTTTTTTGCGGACTGCGCCTCTACAACTCGAGTGCCCAGAATGGCTTTGGCGGCAGCCTGGTCCAGGGGCGTCTCAACCTCGGCGAAAAAAGCCTTCGTGATCCAACACCTGGTACCCTCCCACCAGCTAACATGGAAGTGCACAGACCCCTGTAGAAAGACTACTTTCCTCTTGAAAAGGGCCTTTTTGCACTTCCAAGTTGTTGGTGGGAGGGTACTAAACTTGCTGGTGCGATAGGTAGGGAATGAGGGAATGAACCGGAAGTGGATTCCCGAATGAAGGAAACCATACTGGATGGATGTCTTCTCGATCCAACTCATTCCCTGCCGAGCACCAGCAAGTAAAGTGGTTTACTCAGAGCCACATAAAGAACTAAGAGGGCGAGGGACTGTGCCTTACATTTATTTATGCGGGTTTGAGTGTTGCTCCCGTGACTCTCCATCAACCACAAATACATGCCTGGGCTCTAGTTCAAAAGATGCCCAGGCACGAGTCTGCACATTGCAAGGATGGCTTGTCGCAAGCAGCAACCAATGGAGATAGGATGGAGAAACACGCTTGGGTGGTGTCCTGTTTGGCAAGGTTGGCGTGATCAGTTGAGAGTGCCTTGTTAGTGTCATACTTGCTCAACCAGTCACCTCGCAGACCAAAATAGGGGTACCCTCATAGATGCTTGGACATCCAAACTAGACATTCAACCAACGGTTGGGTTCATGTAACCAAGATTGCCTACCTAAGGATTATCATCTAAATCTACCGTCCAACCAACGGTTGAGTGCACATATCCACAATGGCTCGCCTAAGGATTGTTGTCATCATCTAAATTGGGTCAACCATGATTCTCCTGGGAGTTGAACCCTAAGGCTGGCTTGCTTTGACCTTCCCTTTGAAACCAACCCCAAAACGAACGCCCTCAACAGAAGCACCCCCGAAGAGCTGCCCCGAAGCTCCAGAGCCGTCCACCCGGGGCCGCGGCCGTCAACCTGGCACCAGGCCTGGCTGCCCGGTCCGGAAGCCTCGCCTGGGGTCTTCCCCTTAGGTTGCGATATTTACTTGCGGTGGCCATTGAAACCATCGCCACTGAAACTGGAAAAAAATAGAAATTCCGTATCCTTCAGAAATCCTCCTAAATTCAACAGATTATTTAAGAGTCAGGGAAATTTCACTACAATAAACTTGCGGACTTCTCCAAGGGATCGTGTGGGGCCCTCACATGCTGGAATGCGCTTAAAACTGGTGGTTGAGTGATCAGGGCCACCAACCGGATGATATCATCCTCGAGGCAAGCCCCAAAAAAACCTGGCGGTCAGATGCCCCCCGAAAGCCCAAAGCCCCCGGGCACTACCATTTCATCGCCAGGCCGGCAGCACGCCAGGACTGCTCCACGGGTTGAGGAGGCCTGTCAATTGGATCCCGATCTTAAAAATGCGGAGTTAGTTCGTCTTTCAAACCGGATGGACGAAACATCCAGCTGGCGGGGGTCTTTTTTGGAGTGCTTTTACATGAACATGTCCTTACAAGGAAGGAACCCAGGAAAAACACATATTTGTAGAGGAGTCTCTTGTTGGGGAATGGACCCCCTTTTGTGGGGTCCATGTTAATTTGTAGGGGTGTGAGTAGGGTTTTTTCAGCCAGGACTCCTTCCGAAGGCCCGACAGGTCCGTGTTGGTGCATGTCATGTGAAGCCACCTGAGTTCTATGTGTTTCTCTCGCTCCAAAACAGGAGCCCATGCACCTTTAGAATATTCTGCTCTGTGGATGCTGCGTTTCCCGTTTTCCTTGACCCTCACACTCATAACAAAGGGAGTTCAACCATAATTTCGGGTTGCAATCACCCAGATTTTCGTTGGATTCTTGAGGTTTTAGGTTCATGCTGCCAGCCGAGTTCAGCAGAATCGAAGGCGTTCCGAATCGATCTCTGCCCTTTCCGAGCCTGCTCGTCAGACGGCATGACGCCCGGGCTGGAGCCGACGTGGCGGCAGATCCGCGAGTCCATGCGGTCCATGCCCAACGCGCGGCATGTGACACGGCGAATATGCCCAGTGAACATCCCATCCCCACTAAAATAGACTAAAATGGGTGGTGCACCTACCCCAAAATGGTAACTTTTGTTTTGATCCACAGCCACATGGGAGTTGGTGAGTAACCTCCATTTCCCAATGATAATTGGGAGGTGTGTGCAACTTCACCCCTTGCTACAAAAGATGACAACAAACGTAGCCCATTGCAAATATGCTGATGGACAAAGCAAAGGTCAAGAAATGGTGCAAGAAACAACGATTCGATATCACGCAGGCTTCAGCTCACAGTCGGATTCTGACAAATGCCTCCCTCTGGTTAACGCCCAAGGCATGCTGGAACGTGGCACGTGCCACCTTGGCATGAGAGTGGCTTTGCATGCCCTCCCCTCGACCGTCAGCCTGGCGCGGACTCCATTTTCCGCGCCGGACTCCAAAACGGATGCCAGCGGCTTAGCAGATCTTTAAACCTTCCTGCCCCGGCCGTACATGTCCTGCGCCTTCTTCCTCAAGTTGGCCCACTTCTCACTCTCTGCTTTGTCTGCAGCCTCGTCATAGACCTCATCCTCCTGCACCCGAACCCGAGGCCGTAACATCTGCCGTTCGCCTTTCGTCTCTCCCTGTCTGCTGTCTTCCAACGCATCCTCTGCTTTGCCTCGCCCTTCCCATGGACGTGTCAAAGTAGGGTTTGGACCCGACCCCCCCCCTCCCCGGCCCTCCACAAGAAGAGAAAAAGTGCTTGTCCTTCTGGCTTCCCTTTAAGCCAACCCCAACAACGGGCGCCGAGCCTCCGAAAAAATTATCACCCAAAAAAGCTCTTACGTCCCATCCCTTTCACCGCATCCGACACTCCTGCAGAATGTATCCGCCCCCGGCACTGCCACCCACCAGGCGCGGCTTCGCAGGGCCCGGGGCGCCATCCGGCGCCACCTATCACAGACTGACCGGCGCAGGCCGAGCTCCACTGAGCTCGGGCGCCCGAAGGGTCGGTCCATTTAGGTCGGAAGGTTCTACCCTTCGTCCCACTAACAGAAAGCACTTGTGGGAGGGCTATCACACTCTGGGATTATGCCCTCTGAATCAGCCTAGTTTAGCATTCCAGATAAAACCTGCTGATTTTGGAGGGTGTAAGAGGAAAATTCTAAGAGCCAATTTACGTCAGAAGGTTCTACCCTTCCGCCAACAGAAGGCACCTGCAAAAGGGGCACTTGGAGGAGTAACTTGCTCAAGAAACCCTCTGCCAGGTGCCGTGGCAACGTGGGGGGAGGGGAAGTCTCGTAGTTTTTGATGCCAAGATTGGCTCCTGCACCCCCAAACCACCAATCCAAAGCCACCAATTCAGGGGTACCTGACTTGTCGGCCAACCAAGCCAAATTCTCTTGAAACCGCTTTGGATGGGCCCAAAGAAGGCTCTTTTCGCCCTTGGCTTCTATGGCCCTTTTTGGCTCATGGACCGACTCAAAGCATTGGACTCGTTCCAGGCTCGCCTCTAGGCTCTGCAATCTTATAAGCACATTTAAACGACAAAGAACAAAATGATGTTCAACATTTCAGCATGGTACTCCAAACCAAAGAAGCTCCAAAATGCACTGCGTAGTCCACACTCTTTCCCTTGGATCCAATTCGTGGCACTCGTCGAAAAAGGCCGACATGGTCTCAAAAATCAGGAACGGAACCCCCCCCAAATGGCTTCATGTTGGTTTCCCTAAACCTACCCCAAGGGCTTCGATTCCGCCCACCCTCCCAACCAGCGCAAGGCCACGCAGAAGTGTCACCCAGCGCCTGCTTCCCGTAGACGCGCAGACCCAGCTTCATGAGCTCGAATCGCAAGGTCTGGCGTCCCAGCTGATAGACTTCGCTCGTATCATCCAACCTGTAAACATTTCAAGGGAGACTCACTGCAATCAAAACCCCCTGGGGATCACGCCGCAATCAAAACCTGTTGAATAACTCTTGGACGCGTCATTCAGTTCCCAGTAGACTTGCGCGTCCATCCCAAAGCTGATGGTATCTCCAACCTGTAAACATCAAGCTCACCTGGCAAACATGTGATGTGTCAAACTGAAAACCGCAAAACTCAAAGGACCCCACCCCCGCTTGAGATACTCAAAGCCTTGGTTCCAGGACTTTCGAGCTGCGCAAACCTCAAATCCAGGCCCGGAGTGCATCCACCGCATCCATCAACTTGAAGTGATCTGTCTCCTCCTCCTCCATCAGGACCTGCGTAGTCGGCAGTCGGCAGTCATGTAGCCCCACGCGGCAAACCAATGCAGCGGCTGGAAATCCAGGGAAAAGAAAATCAAGGTGAGCCATAATCAAACCGCTGTACCCACAACCACTAAGAATCAGACTGGCGGCCGCGGCGCCCATCTATAGCTGAAACTAAACATTACTGACCTTCACTTGCCTCGGGTTTTGAACATGGCTCAAGTGAGGCACAATCAAAACCCGGCATTAAAATAGTCTACCCCTCATATATAGAATTACCAAGGCGTAAAAATCCGCACCCATTTACTTAATGGGATTTCCCCTTGGCCTTCATCTACCCGAATCGGTTTTGAGTGTGACTCTAGGGGTTGATTCCCCATTCTTTTCAACCATCGTTCCTTTCGACAACCAGCCGTTTCCCCTGGGTTTTTGGAGTTTTCTGGAAAGATTCAGATCCCTGGATTCAGAATGGGGACTACACCTGGCCCTTGAGCCCAAGATCAGCCTTCACTTCCTTCAGCTTGGGCTCAAGTGCCAGCCGCGCATCCGCCGGGGCCTTGTAGCCTGGCAGAAAAAAAAAAAAAAAAAACACCAAGCGGGCGGTGTCTCAAAAATTCGGCACGAGCTACGCATGGTTTCCCCCAACTTGCTATTGGTTCCCCCCAATGGTTATCCCATGTTCATAACCCCCAAGCCAGAAAGAAACGGAAAGCTGCGGCTTAGTCCAAATGGCTGTGGTTGTCAAAGCCGTTTTGGGATCCCATTTTGGGGTAGGTGAATTCACCACCCATTTTAGAACCTATTTTAGTGGAAGATGGGACACTGCGGGCTAACCGGGCTTTCTCAACATAAGCGCGATGTGCGCATAGAACATATGGGTTTGTGTCAAAACCCTGTACCCCCGGTGAACATCACAATAGGTGGTACATGGGTGTTCATCCGCCCCAAAATGGAGGCATAGGTTATGACCCATGGCCATATGGGTTTGTCCTTACAAATGGGAGAACCCTACAAAACGGGTTCTTCCTTCGTTCCTTTGGGAGTCCCTTCAAAACCAACCAAAGGGAAGTTCCCAGAAAAAAAGAGAGAGACACCCATACTAAACATCAGCCCGCACAAAAAAGACGGTGTGTGCGTGTTTGACAGCAATTTGTTTGAGGATGGCTTAAACGGAACAAGAAGGAAATGCCACCATTTTTTATAGGGTCGGCGATTTTTTTTAATGAGACATGCCACCAATGAAGCCTTGCCCTCTCTCAGCCCGAAAACAGCTCCAGCCTAGCTCTAAGAGATTCTGCGAAGTCTGCTCCAGAAGGCGAGAAGCGGCGTACCTGCGAAGCGAGGGTTGGCCAGTGGCGGTGTCTCAAAATCGCTTGGCTTCTGTCCCGTGAAACCAGCGTCGGGAACCAGCTTGTCCCAACCCATCTTATCCCCCAGCCTTTCATGGCCGCAAATTGTGCGGCGGGTTGAACCCCCGCCTTAGGGGGGTTTTGAAAGGGACACCGCAGGAAAACCACTCTTTGGGTGTGTCCCTTTTCAGGGGACCCCAAACGAAGGGTGGGTTTCCTTTCGGTTTCCCTTCAAACACAACAAAGCAGGGGTATCAACTCCGAGAAACAAAAGGAAAAAAACGAGCCACCGATTTTGGGGCTCACCCTATCTTAGGCGCCGGCCTTAGCTCCAGCTGGAACTTGGCCTCCTCGTCCTCTGTCCACTTCGCCTCCGCCTCGTCCAGGATGCGCTGCACCTGCCACAAGGGTGTGGTTTGTAAGGGTACCCTTTTGGGGCTTGGTTCCTCATTTTTTGGGTTTGTAAGGAAAGCCGAAATCCATGGCGCGTCATTGTTTCGGGGTCCCGGACCCTAAGTGTTCCGGAGCAGAATGGATCAAAGCAGGGAAACGGATGTAGACTTGTGGTGTTCCTCTTGCCGCCCCCTGTAAACCCACCTGGGGTCCCACCTGAAAAGGATACCCTATGGCTGCATGCCCAAGTGCGGCCGCTGGTCACGGACAAAAAAATGGATCTGGACCGCTCCTCCCTCAAGGAGCTGATTTTGAACGCATGGAACTCCGCACCCAGCCTCGGCATCATCTAGAGAAGAGGAGTCCTGCATCAGCTTGAAGACACTTTCGCAACAAACACCATGCTTCACATTTTTGCTTTACAAAAAAGAAAGAAAATGCAAGCGGCGGTCAGCCGAATGTCATGTCCTCGATGCGAATGGTCTTTTCCTGGCTCGTCGCCCAGTCTTTGGCAGAGACCGTGAGGATACCCTGCACAAGCGACAGTCCAAAGGGCCGATGCGTATGCCCAAACCAACATTATGAGCACGAGTTTCCCAAAATGGCTTCTGGATTTCCCTTTTGGTTGGGAAACCAACTGTTTTAGTAAGCATCCCACACAATTGCGCACTTGTCCACTTGAACCAAATGCGTTTCAAGCACAAAAAGCAATGCACAGCCAACAGGAACGCTTGTTGCGTTGGTGTTGTTTGATTGAAAAGGCCGGGCGTTTGCTTCTTAGCAAGGCCTCGACGTCGATGTCGAAGGAGACCTCAATCTTTGCGACGCCTGACAAGAGGCGCTGCACGGCTTCGCACGATGCTCTGCCTTGTGCAACACTTGTGGCTGTGGGTCAAAAATATGTACCCAAAATGGAACCCTGGTAATTAAAGGAAACTTGGACTACAAAATGCACTTCCCTGGTGGTTTAATTTTGACCCACACCCATGTGGAAAATAGCCCCTGAGATACCCAAGGGATATCACAAAAATGGATCCTAACACCCTTCCCGCAAACAAGTTCACACCAACGAAACTCCCTTTTCACGGGCTCCTAATTAAACCGAAATGGCCATGAGCGCGAAACATCGAACACCCCCTAAAGTGGCGGGACATCCACGACCTCCACCCCATGTCCCATTCAACTTCCCCGAATCATCAGCCCACCCCGTGGAAGGCTCCTCAACTCGCCTTTGGGAGCTGGTGGAATGCCGTCCAGTCGGAACATGCCGAGCTTCTTGTTGTCCTTTGCCAAGGGCCTCTCCCCCTGGAGTACCACCACCTCGGGCCCAGCTCCAATTTGCAACTTGGCCTGAGAAGGCTTGAGTAAATGAGGCGCATAGGTGTGCTTTTGGGGCAAATAGATGGGTTTCCCTGGTAGATGATGAAACCACCAGGTAAAGCAGGGAAACCCATCCATTTTGCGGCCAAGACAACCAAAAAGGACACCTATGACGAGTCGCTAAAAGGACTTCAGCCAGTTTTAGGGGGTTCCCTTCGACACATGCACATGGCATTCCCGAGACCCTTATGTGACCCAAAGAAAGCAGAGCTGGTGAAGACCGAGCTCTGTACCTCGATGGCATCTTGGGCATCACCGGAGGTGGTGAAGATCCGCTTCGCCTGCGGAGAGGCGCCGGCTCAAACTAGGCGGTGAATGGGCTCAAAGGACCCTGCAAATTGCGATTTGCCTGTTGGATCGTTCATCCTGGTTCTCAGCGACTGAGAGAATGCAAGAATCACAGCTGGACGCACTGATTCTTAAATGGGTGTGGGTCAAAAATCGGGTCACCCCAACATGGAACCCTGGTGAATGAAAACAAGGACGATTTAACCCATGTCCTGGATTAATTTGGACCCATACCCAAATGGCTGGCTTCCGCTGGGCGAACAACAACGACCGGAGCGCAACCGAAAACAAAAGCCAATGTCCTTCAGGGAACTGCACTCACCCGTTTAGCTTCAATGGGAACTGGCCATGTAGCTCTCTGGCTGAAACGAGCCACGTAGCTCTCTGCTTCTAAACAAGCAATGTAGCTCTCAAGTTTTCGGCCGTCGCCTTCCAGGGCACTGCAGTGCCCTTCTCCATGACAGCGGAGAACACGCCGCCGTCCGTCTCCACACCCAGCGTCAGGGGCGTGACGTCGATCAGCATGATGTCCTTGACCTAACCGCCACTTCAAACTCAGCACGCGCCGTTCCCAGGTCCAATGGTCTTAAAGCCTCAAAATGTGGGTGGAGTTTTTGTTATTCTTCCTTTCTTTGCGCAGGAGGAAAGGAAGCCCGAAATCCATGTGTGGGGTCCCTAAGAAAAGTACACACATCTGGAGCCCCCAGAAGCGGAAGCCGAACGCATCACCCCGGCCTCGCCAGCGATCATAGCTGCTTGCACTGAAGCTCCAATGGCCACCACCTGGAAATGATCCACACCAGTGCGGTATGTCAGTCGTCAACAGCGACCCTAGAAACGGATCTCGGCGTTCCCTTTGGCTGACCTTTTTTTAACCACCCCACAAACACATATGGATACCCTCTGAAAAAGAAGAAGAAAACACACACAGACACACACACACACAGACACAGACACAGACACAGACACAGACACAGACACAGACACAGACACAGACACAGACACAGACACAGACACAGACACAGACACAGACACAGACACAGACACAGACACAGACACAGACACAGACACAGACACAGACACAGACACAGACACAGACACAGACACAGACACAGACACAGACACAGACACAGACACAGACACAGACACAGACACAGACACAGACACAGACACACACACACACACACACACACAGAGCGCATATGCACAAAGCGCATATGCACACATCAACAGTTATGCTGGAGCCCAGCAAACTTAACCTGGGCGGCCCTGCCTCATCCGGGCTAATCGAAGAGTTCACCGGCTTGAAATCTGTGAGCTCCTGACTCGGACTCTGCAAGATCTTGGCGCCACGATTTGGCATGGCGCCAACCCTCCCCTCCTCCCCGCCAAAAAAAAACAAAGAACTCCCACCCTCCCCCCAAAAAACTAGAAACAAGAATTCCCTCCCCAAAAACAAAAAGCGACGACAACAACAAACTTGACACTCCCAGTCCGCCCTGCCCTCAGCTTCCGTCCCGCGCAAGGGTCTGCACGGCCGGAATGCGTGTAGAGCCACCCACCAAAACCACCTGTGCAAAAGAGCCAAGAGGGCAGGCTCATGGGTGTGTCTTTCTTTGATACCCATTCTCTCATTGTCTGAAAGGGAAACCAAAGAAAAACCAAAGGAAACCAACGGGAAACCAATTGGTTTGGGGTTTCCACCAAAATCAACCCCTCATGTTGCAAGAGCTTGACGCCATCTCATCGCCTGGCCTCCCTCAATGCCCTGGTCTTCACCCGCGCATCCTGCGCAGACAAAACTCCAGATCAAGGACTGAGAGCCTCGTTTGGGCCTCGTTCGGAGGATTTTGAGTGATTCGGACTCCGAGCTGTGGATGGTTGCGACATCTGCTTCTTGCACCAGGAAAGTTTGTTCCTGTGTTCATGTAGGGGAATCGAATCATTCAAGGTTTCTGAACAGTGGTGCGAAATGGATTTCGTCCATCCACAGTATAACCATTGCGGACTGACAAGGACGCAAGAGGGCCGAAGAGGGCTAAAGAGGACAAAGGCGCAAAGGACCAGCAAATGTACTGCAAAAAGATACCTCCTCCCTGGTTCTTCTGTAGAAGTTATGGTTCCCAAACCAGACATCTACCCAAAAAACAAGAGAAACCATCTCCATTTCCATTGATTCATCTGGAGGTATCTCGTAGGCGTCACAGGTTTCAGCTGGCCCGGTTCGGTTTGGGACTTCCGGTCAGCCCCCCACTCCTCCAAGGCTTGCTTCACCGGCGTCTCCAAGCGCTTCAGCAGGTCTTCGCACAGCTCCTGACGCGGTGAGTCGCAGAAAATTTTCAACGCCATGCCAGCGCCACGCCAGAAACTCCCATGTGGATGTTCCACAAAACGGGCGCCGCTGTGGTTTTTGTCCGAAGGGAAACCAAAAGTCATCGCCCTCTTTCTTTCCTTTCTTTCGTTCTTTCTTTCGTTCTTTCTTTTCTTTTGGGGGGACTCGCATTTTCAGACAAACCCAATCTTCATATCTCAAACCCAGCCGCCACGCTCAACCCTTGCCTCGAAGCAATCCCGGGTGAGGACCTCCTCCACGTGCAGAGGTCCCGACTCGTCCGCCGCGATGAAGGGAACCGAGACGCGGACCTCGTTTTTCGGGGGCCAGTGCTGGCTATGAGACGAGACACAGACCGATCCACTCCGGATGCAGCAAGCTGCAGTTGGTCTCGGAGTATTTTGGTGGCTTAAAGAAAAAGACAACTCCAAAAGACTCCGAAAAGACTCCGAACTACATGCAGCTCCCGGTCCCCTTTTCCCTTCCCATCTGCAGCTCCCGCCCCGTGGTTCATCGACCCTCAAACCAACAAAAATCAACGCATCGACGTCGAAGCGTGGCCTCCTGGAGGGAGGAGAGCTCCACCTTGGCCTTCTCACTGGCCTCCAGCAGCCGCTGCAGCGCCTGCTTGTCCTCACCAGTGTCACCGGCGCTAACCCGTGGGTGTGGTCAAAAATGGGTTGCGGACCCCCTGTTTTGGGTGGGTTATGAACTGGGAAACCAAAAGGAAATCAAATGGGTGTGTCTGACTTGTTTTTTGAAGGGCGGCGAAGCAAGTGGGTGGTGGTCAAAAATAAGAAAGCCAAAATGGGTTGCCCGATCGGGGAATGGAAACAAGGACGACTTGACCTGTGGTGGGTTAGTTGTGACCCATACCCACATGAGTTTGTCTCAAAAACGGATTCGGACCCCGTGTTTGGGGGGTTTTGGCTTGGGAGACCAAAGGAAATCAAATGGGCGTGTTTCCCTTGGATGGCTTTTGATGGGAAGCCAAAGGCAACCAACCTGGGGTCAAAAATAGTTGGTAGCCCCAAAAATGGACCCTACCCAAAAGGGTGTCTCCAAAATTCAAGTAGGAATCGGACCCCTTCTGGGATGGCTGTTAATTGGGAAACCAAAGGAAACCAACCTGGAGAGGTCCATAATTTGGAGAAACACCCAAATGCCAAAACATTCACGAGCCACATCAAGACCCATGCCAAACTACATTACATGCTTTCCGGAAAAAAAGGAAAAACAACTGCAATACTTGATAATTGCAAACATGGTTTTATTTGCTCCTTTGTGCCTGGTGCGCAAGCCCCAATCGCATTCTTGGATGCTCAACTCACTTGGTAGGTTCTAGAAATCTGGATTTTCATGCCAACGAACCTCAGTTGCCCTGGTTGTAAGCTTGTTTATAGCATATTACAACCCACTGAAGCCCTGGGTTGCACATCCGCCATCCGCTCGTTGCTAATTCTCCGCTTGGGTGTTGCTTCTCCTCTCGGAGGTCGAGGCCATGCTGCTGCTGGAAGCGCTGCAGCAGCCAGCTGAGGACGCGCTGATCGAAGTCGTCGCCCCCCAGCTGCGTATCTCCGTTGGTGGCCAAGACCTCGCGGCCACTTGCGCGCGTTCAAGGGAGCCACTCCATGGGTTTTCATGGGTCTAGGCGGTCTAGGGACCCGTGGGGTGGGTTTTCATGGGTTTTCCAAGGGAGGATGACTTGGGATTGTTCAAGGGAGATGACTTAACTGTGGGTCAAAACCCAGGAAATAGGTGGCAAATAGATGTTCATCCACCCAAAATGGAACCATAGATAATGGCCCATGGCCACTTGGTTTTGGGGGTCCCTCCATCCCACCACCTCTGCATTCTTTGGTTACCGTACCAAGGGGATTTCGGACATGGTTGGAAAAGCGGCTGTTGGGACCCGGGTGTTCGCTTTTCGATCATGCTTCAAGTGAGTCCTGTCCACTTGAGAACTCAAAGCCCGGCTCTCCCGAACCTACTTCGCGCTCGTGCGCACAGGTCACCCCGCCACATGGGGACCCCACCAGCGCGAAATCACCCCACTCGACTGGGACAGTCGACGGGTCGTAAAACACGGGAACCTCCAATGGTCGATTTCTCTTTTCCACTTTGTTCCCTTTAAAACCAACAGAAAGGGGGTTCCCAAAAAAAAGGACACACCCATCTACTGAGGGTTTGAGGACATTCAAGTGGGGTTGCTCGAATCGGGCGGCCCGCCTCGCACACGCCGTCGCCAGCCTCCAAGCAAAGGTCACAGCATGAGGTGCGAGTCACTCATATGGGATTTGTGATGTGTGTGTAATAATCTTGCTGGTTCTCACCAGAGAAGGAGTTGGAATGACACCTATGACACATCCCCTATGGGATCCAATTCCCAACACCAACACCCGTGCTCGATCATTCCCTATCGCACCAGCAGGAATAGATGGAACTCGTGAACATGTGTTTGTTTCTGTTCGGTCTTCCCTCCTGATTCCTGAACCAATTGCCTGACAAGAATATCCTTCGCCTCACACAAAAACACCCCAAACACCCACAAACCACTACCACCGGCACCTCCATGACCGAGACATCAAAGGTGCCACCCCCCAGGTCAAAGACCAGCATAAAGAGCCTCAGGATCGGACGGAAGACATGCTTTCCCCAAAACCACCAAGACCAGCAAAACGGGGTACATATCCTTTATGTCGTTGTGTCTTTCTTTAGGTGACCGCCAAAATGGGCTTCGCTTGTTTTCGTTTCCTGCAAAACCAACCAAAAGAGGCTACCCTCAAAGAAAGACGACCCATATAGTGGCTGGCTTTTGTTCCCTTAAACCCCGGGGTCCTTTCCGGCAGCTTCTGTGGGGCGGGAACCATCGCGTTCGCCTAGGCTGCCGACATCGCCTTCTGGTCAAGCCCATACCTTGGGAGCCACCGGATCCAGTCATGTTGACCCAGTATTAATCAACCCCCGTATATCAATGGGGGGGTGTCCCCGGATTTGGTAAGGAATCAGACCTTGATTCATATGGGGGCAACATGATATGTTACCTCGGGACTCACAGGATCCAGTTAAAAGGAGGTTGTTTCAACATAGAGGACCCCTTTTTGGTTTGTCTCAAAGGGAAACCAAAAGGAAACCACCTACCCGCAGGAGTGCCTAGTGTTGAGTAACTCCCATAGCTGTTCACGACTGCATGCATCTTCAAGTGCACCTGTCAATGGGCCAGGATTTAATCCAGTCTGGGCTATTTGGGGTGTGGCTCAGAATGTTCAACCGCTAGGACCACTGCAGGTTGTCTTTGTGTCCATATTTCCGCGCGGTGGATTCCTTTTTGTGGGTTCCATTTCTTTGGGAGGATCCCATTCTTTTGATGATTCCCAGTTTCTTGGGGGACTCCTCCCCATGGTTTGAGCGAGCCACCGCCCGTCTCAACTCTGGGGCCTTGGCGCCAGTGCTGCCATGGTGGGCTCATTGCAGACTCTGAGAACCTCCAGGCCCGCCAGCTTCCCGGCGGCCTTGGTGGCCTGCCGCTGAGAGTTGTCAAAGTACCTGAAGCGGAAAAAAAAGCAAAGGGACACAACTGGGTCCTCCAGTGGAGAGGTTAGAATAACCTGGGGCCTGAAACGACTAAACATAAATGGTTGCTTTGTCTCACGGCCGTTCTTGACTCACTTCGCCCGAAACTGGCCGGACCAGGGTGGCTGACAGGAAAGAGGCAGAATCTGCATGGCAGGGATGTACTCACAGCCGGTAAAATGACTTGCAGCCCAGCCTAAGCAAGAATAGTAAGTCCATATGACAAATTAAGAGCACAACAAAAGAAGCGGGAAACCTCAGTTTGCCGCCATGTGTTTGCCAATATGGATGACACGCATAGGTTCCTTCGGTGTGGGGACCAAAGATTCTTCAATGCTAAAACTGCGAACCGAAAATAATCATATTTGGTAAAAGGCCCATGCAAAGTGTCTTCTTCAATGCTCGCATGCAAAAGTCATGCCAACGTTGCACTGAAATAGTGAACCGCGGGGCTTGTACCCAAAACGAGCAAATTTACTGTTGTCCCAAGACCCGCGGATAAGAAAACACGTACTTTGGGACACCACCAAAAAAACAACAACACCGATTGAAGTCAGCTGTAGTTAAGTAGGACAGCTTCGACTTTTAGATTCTGGATGTTGGAAGGGTCCCATGCATAAAATAAAGAGCTGCCCTTTTTCGACTGGTACAGATGCATACCTGAACGCTGCGTGTTCGAAGAACGTATTTCGATCGAACCATCCTGGGTCTGTCGCATTCGAGCTCAGGTTGATTGGCCAATCACCGTTTTTGTTGGTCGAAATTGATTTTTCGAAACAACTGTTCCTGCCCGTGCAACGCCCATTCTTACCCGTGCAACGCCCATTCTTACCCATGCAAACGACCAGATTCAAAAAGCCGCGTTTTTTTCGGATCTCAAATTGTGTTTGATCGGCATCGAATTCAACTTTGCCCGGTCGCTTTCGAAACGTAGCTTTCGAAAAAAGGTTCGAAATAGGCTTTCAAAAAGGGCTTTCAAAAAGGGGGGGGCGTTCGAAGGCGGGCGCTAAGAAGGTTTCGAAAGGCGGCTTTCGAAAGGGGGTTTGAAAGTGCGAAATAGGCTTTCAAAGGGGTCTTTCAAATGGAGGCTTTTGAAAGAGGGGGTTTGAAAGCGGCTTTCGAAAGGTTGCTTTCGAAAAGGGGTTCCAAAGAGGCTTGTTCGATGTTTCCGAAAAGGAGCTTTCGAACAATATGTTGCCTTCGAAGCATTATTCGAGAGCAGGCTGCGTATCAAATGGCAGAAATGATTGCGTGCGAGGAAAAAGGCCAAGAGAGCTTCACATCAAAGAGCTTTGAATTGGACAATTGTTGGATTAGTCGAACCCTGGTACGCTTTCGAAAGCTGGCATGCGCCATCGATCATGGGTTCCTAGACTTTTAAAACAACTGGACGCAGTAGGACAGCTTTTGCGTTATTCCTTGCGAACTGCGGCTGAAGTGCCGCACAAAATATTGAAACTTAATTCAGTCATCCGACTCTCCTGAAACGGCCGTGTTTGGAGCAAACGGCCGTTCTCACATGTCCCACTTCTGGACGACTATTTAGATTTGGTCTTTTGGGGTTCCAGGAAGGGAACCATTTTTTCTCTGTCTATTTTAGTAGGAGAAGCCTCCCAAAAAAGGGTAAAAGGGGACTACTGGGGGACCTAAACAAAGTGAGTCCCCTTTTTTGGAGTTGGCACCACCTTTCTGTGGAAGCGCGCTGGGGTGTCCTTCTTTGGAGTTGCTACCACTTGTTTGGTGGTTTCAAAGGGAAAGTTACGCTGTGAAGCGCTGCTGTGGGCGCCATGAATTTTGAGGGTACCACCGTTTTGGTAATCTTAAAGGGAAACCAAGAGGAAAGCCGAAATCCGTTCTTCTTCTTCTTCTTCTTTTTTTTGGGGGGATGTCCAAATCCGAAAAGAAGGCACACCCAAGGGCTGCAAAGGGAAGCCTGGCTCTGGACTTCGGTGCGCACGCAGGCACAGTGATCACCGCCTTTGTGATGTCCGCATTTAGGAACGAGGCGGCATCCCTGCGAAGCTTCCTGGCGATCGAACCACAAAGCATGCCATCCATTGATCATCAATTGCAAACATCCAGGGGAGATCAGACCTGAAAGTTTTCAAGCTACGATTTTGCACGAGAAAAAAAACATGTACCTCTATTTGATGATGGGTATGTGTCCAAATCCGACCTAAAACGAAAGGCGTCTTCCTTTTGAAACATTTAACCCCACCCCAAAAACGGGGTGGCCTCGAAAAACACGCACACACATCCTGTTGCCTTACAACTGAACTTTATACCCCAAAATGCCGGCTTCCCTTTTTTAACATTCAAGCCCCACCCCCCAAAACGGGTCAAACACATCCTGTTGCCCAACTTTAAGAACCCACCACCCAAAACGGGCCCCTAAGCAAAAACAACCTTTGCTGACATTTGATGGTGGGTATGTGTCCATCTGAACTTTAAGAACCCACCCAAAACGGGGGCCAAAAACCAAAAAAAAAAGCAAACGGAAGAAAACGGGCCCCAAAAACAAAAAAACAAAACACGGCTCCCCACGCGCCTCAGCACCTCCGCGGAGACTTCTTCGGGTGCCAGGCCCCGGCCCAAGATGGGGCAGTCCAGGCGCACCTGGCGGAGACGGGAGACCTCTCCGCCGTTTTTTTTGGGTTCGAGGTCCCTGTGACTTTTGAGGCTACCCGTTCGGTGGGCGGTTTTTTGTTCGGGGTAAACCAGGTAGCCACTGAAAAATCCCCGGTGTTTTTGGTGGGGTTTAAAAGTAGACCCTGTAATTGCCTGCAAAATTTCAAGAAGTAAACCAGGTGGCCTCGCATATCCTCGCCTTTTTTGTGGGTTTTCCATGGGTAAAGCTTAACATCCCCGCCTTTTTTGTGGGTTGTCCATGGGTAAAGTTTGAAATACCCGGTGTTTTTTGTGAGGTGACCCGCAAATAACCATTTTCTTAGGTATCTTATTTGGGTCCAGGTAAACCAAAGGGAAACGAACCAGCACCCAGGTCCCAACGGATTGTGGACATTGTTGAGAAAGCAGTTGAAAGTGGGGGGGGAGCTTTTCACACATACAAACAACAATCCTCTGAGCATATTTGAATTTGAGGACTTGCACCATGCGAGGTTCCCATTTGACCCCACAGCTGCACCCCCCAAAATGAAGCTCAATTTCCTTGGTGGCTTCCCTTTTGGACCCCGCAAGGGGTATCTCAAGGACAAAACAACTTACAAAACCCGCAAATAGCCCATGTTTCCAAAAGATCAGAGAGGGAATCTGGGCCCCTCATCATGTACCAACACTCTTCAGCTTCAGATTCGGAGAATCAAAATGGCAAGAACCAAGGACACTTGTCAAGCTGGGATATGCTCTTTGCGCGGCGGCCTTTCCATCCCTGTCCACAATGTGGTAAGGCATTGACGAGACGTCGTCCTCAACCTGGCCAACAGAATGAGAACTGCTCACTATGGCTCAAGCGGTGAGCAGTCTCTCCCTCTCAGCTTCCCCCCAATTGGTAGTTTGGATTGAGTTTGGAGGTTGGGGGGGCGGTTTCTCATTCACCCTCTACAACAAACCAGGGGATTCAAACAATTCCCCAACCACCGATCCAAACCACCAATCAAGGGGGACCTCGGACCCTCCTCTTCCCTCCCGCGAAAAAGTGGAGGGCACCTCTGCGAAGCTGCGACCAAAGTATCGCTTCACGGAGCCGAAGGTGTTGAGCGGATTCAAGGCCGCCTGCCGGAGCAAAACAAATCCGCGCGGCGTGCGGGCGATGGGGCTGCTTCAAATCGGGAAATCCTGGCTGGCTGGTTTTCATGGGAAGCCCAAAGGATTCCAACCTGAAGGGTCCAAATCTTGAGAAACACCCAGAGAACAGCAGTCCTTTTCTGAAGAGAACAGGACCTACAGCTCGCCTGCCGTCTGGCTGTTGTCCCAACCAGCACCTCCCCATCTTTCGTGTACGCGACGACCTCAGTCACCGGCTGCTCCGGTGCCTCAAACCACTGCTACCGAGGACCCCCTTTTCACTTTTGTTTGAAGAGAAAGCAAACTCTTTCGGGTCCCCTGTTTTTTCTTGCTGGTCTCAGCAGGAATGAGGGAATGACCCCTATTAACCATCCCCTATGGTTTCGTTTCAAGGTTATTCCCAACCCCCCGAGTCATTCCCGAGTGAGCACCAGCAAGTTTGAGAAACACCACAATGAGCAATGTACAATTTGAACCAACCCTAAACTTCCAGTCAATTCGCTACTCTTTGAGTGCGGCTGGCAAAAACCACAGCCTCTGAAATAGCTCAGAAAATCCAAACTTGCGGCCACCCCTAAGCACAGCTCTCGAATGATCTCGAATGGGAGCTGGCAGATTGCTGCTGAGGTTCGGAGAAAAGAATGCGAATCTGAGGCCGGAGCACTGGGAGTGGTGCGCTCGCCCTGGCATGCCGCCAGAAAAAAGAAAAAAGCCCTAAAGCCCAGGGACAAGCTCCCTGCAATGGAGTAGCCATCTGGCTCATAAGATGTCAGGCCCCTGCTCTATGCGTATATGGCGGTTGTCTGAAATCTCTTGTTCCCGAGCTTTCGCAGAGCTATGTTCACAGCATTCATCACGCAAGTAGGATGCGAAGTAAACTTCCGCAGCCCCAGCTCGAAAGCGGTGCAGCAGCACAGGAGGGGACTGGCAACCCATGTGGCCATGGGTCAAAACCCCGTACCCCCGTGAACATCCCAATCCCCACTAAAATAGACTAAGATGGGTGGTGTATCTACCCCAAAATGGTACCATTGGTTTCGACCCATGTGGCGAGGAGGCCATCGACTTTCGCGAAACTTGCGCGGGCCTTGCGCCAAACAGTACCGAAAATCCGGCTGCACTGGACCCGAAAGCTTCACCACTCCAACAAGCTGCTTCTGCTGAGGGTTGTTTGTGTAGCGGCATGTTTTTCGCTGTCCACGCTTTCATCCGACCAACTTTAGTCTGCGCGCACTGCTGGCAAATATGGTTCATCCTTCCATCTTCCTTTTAGCCAACCACATCAAACCACCCTTGCGCAAAACTTTTGTGAGAAAATCATAACTTCCGTGACCTCGCGAAGCTTTCCGGAGGGCAACACTAAGACAAAAAAGTATTCCCCTTCATACCTGAAACACAAGAACACTCCCACACCACCAAAACGCATCTTCTCCTTCTGGTTTCCACTTTAACTCACTAAAAAAATACCCCAAAAATAGACACACCCATACAGGGTTCCATTTTTGCTGACCTACGCCAAGCTAAGGCTTAGGCTCAGACCCAGGAATCGGTTTCCCTTCTGGGGAAACCTGCCAATTCTGGGTTTGATTTAAACCCTGGGATCCACAAATGGAACCCTGCACCCATATCATGCGGCAAGCCTCAGTTGGTGGTCTGGACTGGTTTGGGTTTGCGTTTGAACGGGTCCCCGTTTCTTGTAGAGGCTGGGAGTTCCCTTCCCATCCAAACCGCCAAGCTCCTGAGCTGATACTGATGGCTACGAAATCCAGAAATCGCACCACCTAAGAAACCCTGGCATGATATTCGATTCCCCCAGTAAAACCGCCAAACCATGGTTTCAAGGTTCAACCAGGGTTTCAAAGTGGTGCTAAATGGATTTCGTCCGTCCACAGTATCATGTGAGGCCAAATCCTTTTCCCCGGCCCACCTCTGAGTTGGGTATGATGCATGGTGTTGCAGCCTCGACTGCTGCCACCACTGAGTTGGTGGTGCCGAGATCAATGCCCACCACCTGGAAACATCTTCAAAAGACTCGAAGCAGGCGGCGTCCTTTTGGCTTCCTGCATACTAAAATGGCTGTGGCTCAAAACAACTGTACCAAAATAGAACCCTGGTAAGTGGAAACATGGACCAAAACCTGCGCAACCCCTCCTGCTGAATTTTTAGCCACACCCAAATGGGTATCCTCAAAAACGAGCCACATGCATCCTCCCGGCCTTTTCGCCAATGTTCGATGCCTGGAGCATCAAACCTTTGCGCTGGGCACGAGGGCATTTCGCCAGGAGCCCGGCAGCGACGCCAGCGACGCCTGCGACGTTGTGAATATCGATCCCGGAACATGGGTGGGTGGTGCCTTTAGCTTCTCTTTCAACCCCATAAGTAGGGAATCTGGGAATGAACCTGGGGGTCCCCACAAAGGAAACCGCCAGTTGGATGGAAGCTCATTCCAATTCTCATTCCCTGCCTATCGCACCAGCAAGATCATTTAGGGAATCCCCAAGAGTTGGTGTTTCTTCAGGGCGGGTTGCCTACTCCCTAAGGCTTCCCTAAGGATCCCTAAGGAAGCCTAAGCAACCCGGTACCCAAGGAAACACGGACTCCCCGCCTGCAAGGCGCAAGCCGCCGCCGCCGCGCCTTCGGCTCGGCCGCCGCGTCCTCGAAACGCCGCGCCGTCGGAGCGCGCCGGCGAAAGGCGCGGCCGGAGGCCCTGGCGCCGCGGCGAAGGCCAAAGGAAGAGCCATGGCCGTTGGCGCTGCCTCCGTTTGCTGGGCTTTAGGCCATGTGGGTCGGATGGGTCGCTTGGTGGGCTGAGTGAGTGAGTGGGCTGGGTGGGCTGGGGGGCTTGGGGGGCTGGGTGGGCTGGGTGGGCTGGGGGGCTGGGGCTGGTGGATTGCTAGTGGGGCGGTGAAACGGCAAGGGCTGTTGGGATGCAGTGGGCTGGATGCCTGTGATTGAGCTGAGGGCATCGCGGCCTCTCATTGTGCCATGCTTGAGCCATTTTCGAGCGCAGTTCACAAGCTGAAACCTTCTCACCTTGCAAGGAAACCATCAGGAAGCCACCAGCCAGATCCGTTGATATGAGACAAAATAACAAGTTGAAAAAAGCAAAAGCAAGCATCTGCATAGCTTGCGTTCCACAATTTCCGGCTGCTAGTTTGACGCACATCCCATTGCATCATCTTACCAATGCCACGGACTGCCGATGCCTGCCACAGTCGTGCCAAGCGCTCGATTTTGCGGCTGAAATTAATCTCAAGAAACCCACGGCCGGCGCGCGCGAGCGCAGCACATGCCGGCCGAGTCTCCTGAAATGACCCCAAATCTCGCTGCTTCACAGCTACTAAGTAAGCTCTGCGGCACGCAAGTCAGCCATGAGGTGGCAATGCTGATGCATCGAAGGCTCAACTTACGCAGCAGCCCCGAATTGGATTGGAAATGCTGGGTGATACAAGGTGAAGTTGACTACCTCGCGACTCGCCCAACGGCTGGCTGACAGGATTCAGGGCCAACTTTCCCTATGCCTGCTGAAGTTGGCTTACAAATCCTTCTCCTAACTGGATTTGTCCCAGTAGCCAAGGGAGCTTTAACCACCGGTGGTTCTAGCCGCTCGGGTCCTGCGACTCGCATTCCCGAAGCCGTGGTGAGCACCACGAACTCAGAGCTTGCGCTGAGACTGGCACTTCAGCTTGAACGCCTGAGAGGCGTTTCTTGTGACCTTTTGGAAAAAAATCCTTGGCCCTGGCAGATGGAATGAAACCTGTCTCAAACCAGCGGAACCCATCTATGTCTTGCCCAACTAGCCAAAACACCTATATGTGGGAGGTTTTTTTGTTGTTGTTTTCCGCTCGGGAGTCCATCGGCAGCATTAAATAGATAACATCCTTGACTCCTTGACTTGCCTGCGAGCATATAATGATGGACAAAGTCCACCAAACGCAGCAGTTGTGGATGACCCCACCAAACAATGCGTTTTGATCTTGTCCATCCGCGGGACCCTTATATTAGACTATTGTCTGGCCATTTCTCCTCTTCTGGAATCCTCCCTTTCGGGGTAGGTACAAGGGGGTAGGTAGTTGAGAGCCCGCAAAACGGGTTCCAAAACGGGCTCCCAAAACGGGTTCCTAGGGTTCCTCAAGGAACATCCCCCTCCTTTGACCACCCCCTTGACACCAGAATGCTTGCTGGTGCTCAGCAGGGAATGAGGAAATGAACCTGGGGATTCCCCAAAAGGAAACCATAGGGGATAGTTTATAGGGGTCATTCCGAAATTCCCTCATTCCATGATGGGCACCAGTAAGTCAATCCAGTCTGTCGGTTGTGCCTGGAGCCTCTCCATGCAGTCGGCAACTTCCTTGAGGTTCTCCTTCACCTCAGAATAAAAAAGAAACAAATAGGTGCGTTGGAGGGCCTCCAAACAGTCGAAGACACCTCCGAAGCATGAAACTGTCCTCAATTCGTACCACAATGTGTCCCTAGTTGTACATATTAAACCTGTCACTCGTCAGGTGGTGTCAATTACTCACACAAGACCCTTTCCGTTAAGACACCGAAACCCGCCTTGGTCACTTCACCTTCCAGCCTGTCGCGCCGGGCCTCGGCCGAACAACTTGTCGGGGGGGGGGGGGGAACATATCAAGACTTGCGAAGCCAGGAAGCGGTGTACGGGGGAAAAAGAACAAAAAACAGCCAACAATTTGGGGTGGTTCCAACCTTGAAAACGGAAACTAACAGGAAACCACCTACCTGGAGGCCCGAAAGAGGAACGCCAATTTGGAGTGGTGCCCCTTCGACAATCACTGCAGTGAAAGAAAGAAGTGAGACATGCCGTGGATGGTGACGCGAAATCCAAACATCGCAGCACCGTTCAGAAACAACACTGGAATGCTGTTCGATTCCCCAACAAAAATACCGTAACAATCATTATGGCTTCATTCCCATGGCAACTCATTAACCGTCCTGCGAGATGATGCGGATCACTCGCGTCACCATCCACGGTAGAAACTCCAAATTTTCGCATTTGCCAGAGAACCGCGGGCAAGGACGGTCGAGGCCATTCCTGAGGCGAGGGCCTTGTAGTTGGCCTTGTCAGCATCGGAAAGGGCAATCCGGTTCATGTCCTGCGCTCCGTGAACTGGCTGTGGCTAAAGCTGGAATCCCCCAAATGGCACCTTGGTAAATGGATCCAAAGGTTCCAACACCTGCGGTTTGCCCTGGCTCTTCAATGTTGAGCCACACCCAATATCAGACATGCCACGTTCTTGTCGGTCTGCGGTTTGTTGATCTGTTCATTGGCCTTTTTTCCATTCACATCTAGTGGGAGATTGCAGTTAACCCTTGACTTGCCTTCCAGGAATGCTGAGCAAGGTGCGTAAGTGAGAGTGTCAGCCAATGCACCCAGTCACGAAGAGGAACCCCTGACTGAAGCCAGATCACTCCTCCTCCAATCTGCGAAGCATGGGCAACTTGAAGAAGGACTCGGCAAATAGCTCTACCTGTCGACGCAAAGGGTGGGTTGTCTGCCTTGGAGGGTAGCCGTTTGTTGGTTTTTAAAGGGAAACAAAGGACAATCACCATATTGGATACAACCTAAAAATGAGGAATCGATATAAGGGGTGCTGCTAAAAATGCTTTTGGCCCCCTTTTGGTTGGTCTTCAAAGGGTAAACCAAAAAGGAAACGCGAAAAGCCATTCTTGAATTCATTTGATGTCGTCTTCCCTGGTTCGTCTTTGAGGGCCTTGAGCTACTCTACCAGAGCCTGCGAAGATGGTTGGCGCAAGATTCAACAAATCTAGAGGTTCCACGAGCCAATGGGAAACACCCAAACAGACTCTGCCTTTGTGTGGTCGGCCGCATGAAGTTCTCTGATTGCAAAACGGGCCAGGCATCCGAATGTGCTCCGATGCTTGAATCAGGTGTCGCGTCAAGTTCGAAAAACTTCCCTTCACAACAATGCCCTATTGGTTTCTTTGCAGCAGCCCCCCCCCCACGCAAAAAAAAAACAAAGTTTCTTTGCAGTATCTTCAGTCACAATTCCCCCCCCCTCCCTTCCCCCCCAAAAAAAACCGCCGCCGCCTGGTCGCAAACCTGTGAGCGGATAAAGCTGTACGTCTTCAAAACCAGCATCTGCACTTTATCCACTGCCTGACCAGCTGAGTCCAAACGGGAACACGCGCTCGAGCCAAGCCAGCCATCCAAGAGGAACACCGCTCAAGAAGGCAACCAGCCATCCTGAAATGTAGACAAGAACCGAGGCAAGGGGCTTCTGAAAATTGATGACCCCCTTGTTGTGGGATCAAAAGGAAACCAACCATTTGAGATTCAAAGTGGATTCCAGATTGCTTACCATTGTATGCCGAATTTTTGATGGCACCGTGTTCGGGTTTTTTGTTTGTTTGTTTTATTCCAGGGAAGCCAAAAGGCAAACCCCTGATTTTGGGTCCAAATCCTATTTCACGACACCCCCCAATCACGCTGTCAGCGGCCTCATCGATCTGATGAGATTCCGTGGGGATGTCCAGCAGCCACTTTGACAGCGTGCTCTCGATGCCGGATCGGCTCTGGATCTCTTTTGGAATCCTCTCCTGGCAAAGTAGAATCATCGAATTCAAGGGTCCCATCTGTGTTTTCAAATGAGAACCCCAAGCCCAATGGTTAAAACAACATGAAACCGGAGGCAACTAGAATTCAGGATTAAGAGTGCAACCGTTTGTTTCTCGAATTATTTTTATTTTTTTTTATTTTTTTTTTTATTTTTTTTATTTTTTTTTTTTTTTTTTTTTTTTAAAAAAAAAAAAAGAAGTCTGATGAGGTTTATAGAAGCCTGATGCAACCAACTGCAACTTCTTCGTAGGGCCAAACGGTCCTTACCGTTGGAAGTCCCATGTCTTGGGCTCCAGAAATTTGCGGGGTACCTATTGACCCACATATCCCCAAAAGAGTCGGTCTCAAAACGGATGTGGTAGCTTTCTTTTGCTGTCCCCTTTTCACCATCCCCCCCAAGAAAGGATTTTCAAAAGTGCCCAACTGCAAAAATTGGTGCCTCCCCGCACTTCGCTGGCCTTGGTGTCGTCGATGGAGGGCAAGGCCTCCTCGCCCTCCTCGGCGTAGCCGTTGTAGGTGGCACCTTTGAGGAAGACCCAGGGGTTGGCGAACGTGGACCTGGCCCGGTGAGAAGAGGAGAACGCACGAGAGCGCGAGCTCGAGCCGTCTTTGGAGGAAAGTACTTGGCATAGGTTGACCTTGTCTATGGCAAGAAATCCATGTTTGCTTGTTTTTTCCGAGCTCGCCGCTGGACGTATAGGTACTGGGCATAGGTGAGCGGTATGTGTGGGGAAAAAAGCACCCCCTTTTTTTCGGGCAAATGGCTTATAGAACTAATCCAAACGTTTCGAGGGCAGGGTCATCTTTGGAGGCTCGGGATTCTTGGCATAGGTTGACCTTTTGGAAAAATCCATGGGTTTATAAAACTCATCTAAACCAGTGGAACCCTCTACCAAACTAACCTACAAAGGAACCCTATGGTACTTGGATGTCTCTTGCGCACGAAACTGGTAATGTAGGCTACCATGTACAATTTGTAACTGGCTTGGCAACTGGGGGTAGTTGGATTATAATCATGGTTAAACCTACTTACTAGTTTCGTGGGCAAGTAACACCCAAGTGCTCTTTTCATCTGCTCTTGTAGGTCCATCTTGTGACGATAAACTCAAAGGCAAGGGCCCGATCAAACAAAACGTTGCAGGAGTGGCCAGCAAACCTCTCCAAAAGCCTGCTCACCCTTTTCAGGGTTGTTTTGGTTGGGGAAGCCAAAAGGGACATCACCCAACTTGGGGGGTCCGAATCTCTAGCAACTGGAGGACTCGTTTTGCTAGGGCTTGACCTGGCAGACTCGTTCTGGTACTTGGGTGACTCAGAACTTACCATGGCTTCTGATGCCAACTACCCAAGCAGTTGCCAACGGGTTATGCCCTCCCGTCCACTAACATGGAACCCACCAGAGGGTCTTTTAAAGGAAAGAGTCTGCCAGGACCCATCAGTCAGATTCCATTTCAGCGGAGAGTAACCTACTTACCAGTTTCCTCGGCAAGGAACGTCCAAGTGGGGTGGTTCCTTCTCGCACGCGAAGGTCGCCGCCAAGGAGGGCTAGTGGGACTTGGAGCTTCTTGGTACAGGGCAACCACCCATGTGGGTCGTCTTTTTTGAGTTGGCCGTCGTCTTTTCGGCGGAGTTTTTTCGGGCAAACCAAAAACCGCCTCGTTTTGGAGGCGAAAAAAGAACCCCCCCCCCATTTTTGGGGTTCCATGATTTGGGGGGAGGGGTTCCCACACGGTTTCCCTTTCTTGGAGCTTCGAAGGAACCACAATTGACATGGGCTGTTGGCGTTTTTTGGGAGGGTACACCGTTTGGAGTGGTTTGAAGCGCAAAGCAAAAGGAAACAACCTGTTAAATCTCTCAAAATGGATTGACCCATAAGGTAGTTTCAAAAAGAAAAGCCAAAAGGAAAAACAATTCCCATTTTCATGGGCAAACGTCAAAACAGAACATATCAGGTGCATGGGCCCATGAGAAACATCCTAGTTCCGGCAGATGGACCTCGCGCTGGTGAAAAAAATGCAGCGTTCACAGCATCTTGTGGGGGAATGCTGCCAGAATGAAGCCCGCAGGTTGTCCGAAAACGTGAAACCCATCGCCTTCATAGAGTTGTCTGGTCTGAGTCTGAAAACGTGCAAACAATCCAATCCCTTTTCTGGCAAAGGATGCCAGGCTCACGTCAGCATGTTGTCAAAGAGCTCGATGAACTGGTTCAACTGCCGCTGGCAAGCCTGCCAACCGCGCCAGTTTGGAAAATGCTGACGGCTCGATCGATCAGCGCGCCTGGTCATAGGTGCTGAAGACCAAGTGCTTGATCATTTCATTCTGTTTGATGAGCTTGACCTGTCAAGTACGACATGTGGATCATCTTTATGTCTCTGAAGACCCTTTGAGGGGTCTTTGAAGACCCCCGAGGGGGCCTGAAAAAACTGTTGTCAGCTTAAACTTGACTTCCAGGCGAAGCTGAGAGCTGAGAGCTGAGTCAGGCGCATTCTTCAGGAGCAGGCTGGAGTACATCTTCTCGCTGGGGTTGCCCTCCAAGCTGCTCATGAAGTCCACCACGGAGTCCTCAAACAGGACCCTCTTTCCGACATTGGGGGGCGGGTTCGTGCCATGGACACGCGCTCCTGCGTGCATACACCTAGAGTCTATGTTGCAACGATTACCCGAAAAGAAGGAGGTTGAAAGAGTTTCAATGCATGCAGAGAGTGCTGCAGCCCGCTCCTTCTGCATTTGGAAGAACCACTTAATGCGCTCGCCGACATACTGCACTCGTCCTGAGGATTGCCGACATCCGCCTTGAGGGGTTCTTCAAAGGTTGGGGCTCCTAGAGAATTTGGACAAAATCCTACCTTGAAACTTTATGGGAAACTCAAACAGGTGGTTGGTCCAACCACCCAAGGAAAATACACCGGATGCCCTAAACTTCTGCAACTCAACCGACCACACCCACCCACAAAATCATGGGACACTACGGCAAAAATCGGGGAGTTCCAACTTGTTCCCCTACGAGTAGCTTGCAATATCTTCCAGAAAAAGCAGAACCACCCCAGTAGGATATCAAAAGAGTACTAAACGAGTGCTGAAAAAGAACCTACAGGGGGCTTGGAACAGGTGAACAGCGCAAATCCAAAGTGTGCTCTCGATATGTTGCTGTGGTTCAAAACCTGAACCAAAATGGCAGCCTTGTCAAATGGAACCAAAGACGAAGACCTGCGGTTGGCCCTAGCTCGTTAATTTTGAGCCACGCCCATTTAGGGCATCCAGCCGTAGCAAGCGACCAAAAAAGCGTTGAGAGGATGAAAGGTGATCGAAGAGATGACACATGCAAGAAGATCTCTTGCTAAAAAGGGCCCACGACCACAACAACTCGCTGGCGCTCCGCCGCTCCGGGCGCCCGGCTCTGCAGAGGCAGGTGGGCTTCGTTGCTGAGCAGCTTCACCACAACGTCCCGCCAGGTCAAAGAGCTCATGGAAACGCCCCGGGCCTGGAGAACGTGAAACAGATTGGGGGCTTCCTTCAATCAAAATAGGCACCTGCACCCCAACAAAATTCCACCTGAACAACGGGGTTACTGCCCCAAGATCATGGGGTATTGTCAACAAGGGTTCTTAACGAAGGGAGACCCTTGGTTTCAGCACCATGCAGGACGTTGGTCGAACTGCCACGCCTGAATGACATCCCGCTTCTTCGTCTCCACCGCGATCTCGGAAAAACGCAGAAAAATCTCCACCTGGCCATGGGTCAAAATTCAAAGCCCGGTTAGCCCCCTAAAATAGGTTCTAGAATGGGTGGTGCACCTAATTACCCCAAAATGGGATCCCATTGGTTTTGAAAAGACACGGGCGCTTCTAGTCGCATCCGGCTCTCTCGGGAAAGCTGACGCACCTCGGCCATGACGCGGCGGAACTGTGCACCACCGTTCACCTCGCAATCCAGTCAAACAATCAGCTTCCCCTAATTGGTGGTTGGCAGCCGGGTGCTTCCAAGTCTGAAGGTACCTTCCCATACACCAAAAGTTCAAGCAAACCACCAATCTAAGCCACCAATTATGCAAAGAAACCTGTAACAACTGCCAAGCCAAAAGGAACATCATGAATTCAGTGGGCTTTGAAAGTGAAGAGTCAGAGCTTGCGGGTCGACTCCTGCTTTGTGGCTCATGGTTGTTCCTCTCTGTCTCCCCCTCTCTCTTTCCGGCCTCTGCATCGGCTGCGCCAATTTGGATGTCGTTTTGCAGGTAACTCAGCCACGTGGCATCCCAAACCCCACAACTTTTTGCCCAGTGCGCGCCCCATTTGTTCGATCAGGAAAACAACTTTTTGCCCAAGAGTGATGTGCGCTCCCCATGTCTTCGACCAGGAAAATCACTGCCAGTCTGCGTTGAGCTGAGCCCGCCGCTCGATGTAATCGTCCAAGCCGCAAAAATCCTCCGAGGGCAGCATCTGGAAGTGCTCGGAGCCCAGCTCAGCACGCGTCGGTGTCGCATAGGAAAATCAATGGAATCTTCGGGGGAACTATTAAGGTGGGGCTTTCCCTTTGGGTGTCCCATGCCCATCTCAAGGGTTCCCTCAAAAGCCCTCAAAAAAGACACACCCTCTTGGCCCATGTGAGTTATAATCAAAACCCGGTACTAAACTAGTCGACCCAGAGAAAAGCTTCAAACGCTCAAACGCTCGCTCTCACTTCACGAGTGGATGGCCCAAACAAAGTCCAAGCTGTTCATTTACCACTGAAATGGCATTCCCAAAAAGTTGAACGTCCAGGAGCTCAAGAAGTGAGTGCTTGAGTGGCTCAGGAAGATCTATGCCATGCTGAATATGATCCTTTTAGGAACGTATGCTTGGTGTGTTGACTGCCTCAAGCTTGCGCATGTTTCAGGTGCGCGAATGGAGCCTGCTGGATGCACAAGAAATGAAGAGTACAGTGCACAGCAAAGCTTCGCACATTTAGTCCGTGCACGCCAAACTGAGGTCAGAAAAAGTAAGAAACGAGGTCCCATGATCTAGCTTTGCACTTCCGAGTACCCACAAACATGAGGTCTTAGCTAGCAGTAAATAATGCAAAGCCGGTCGGAAGTTCCCAACAGTAGAACGAACATACTGTGGACGGACGCAATCCTGCACCACTTTGAAACCATGGGAAACGATTGCTTGATTGTTCTTTATTTCCAGGCGAATCATCATTCCAGAGCTTCTGAAGTGGCGCGACATGGATAGCGTGTTCATCCACAGTAGCAGAGCGTTTCGTGCGCCAACGGACCGTTTGCTTCATGGGTGCGAAACAACGCTCGCGCGCGCGCGGCCGTGCCATTGGGCACGGCTTCCGAACCTGCGCGGACAAGAGAAACAAGTTGCGCAAAGGGTCAAATCTCGTGTGCATGCGTTCGACGCAACATGCATATATATATATAATATATATATATATACATGTATATATATATATACCTATTATAGATATTATGTATATATATATACATAATATGTATGTGCATTATAACTATGTATATATATATAGAGATATTGGGAAGCGGCACAACTCAACTAGTTTCAACACCACAGGAGTTCCTTATAAAGTATTGCGCAGCGTGAGTGAATGATGGAGACCGTGAAAAATGAATGCATGCAGGGGATGATCTCACACGCACAATCAAACACATGATGGATTCTCTTGAGAAAGCAACAACACAGAAAAGCGAAAGGGAACAGTGGGGGATGTGTTGTTTTGAGGGCACCCTTTTTGTGGGTGGTTTTGAAGGGAAACCAAAGGGAACCCACCCATCTTGGGTTCCCTCAAGAAAGGACAGACAACCCAGCTCAGCTAACAGAAACTGTTGCAGGGATGTGGCATGCCCTTCAAGGAAGCGAGGCTGCCAATGCGATGTCCCGACTTTGGACACATCATCCACAATGACTTGGGTGTGTGTTTCTTTAGGGGACCTCCCAAAATGGTGGCTTTCCCTTTGGTTTCCTTTAAAATCACACAAAAGGGGTACCCGAGAAAAACACACCCACTTCTGGTCTCTGCAAGCAGCTCGCCTTCATTCAATTTTCATTTTGTACCCCAAATCTTGGTCAAAATGCCTAGTGGTCGAAGCAAGGCACCGGCTTTGTGGGGCCCCTGTCTTGCATGTTGGTGGCACGTCTCGGCAAGCAGTGAGCTCATGTTCCTGCTGATACTCCTGCTGTTACTCTTTCTGTTGCTCTTGCTGTTGCTCGTGCTGCTACTCTTGCTGTTACTGTTCCGTATGACGATGAAGCTGAACATGACGACGACGATGACAATGATGGCAGTGCTTACTTTGTGCTTCCCCTTGCCATTTGGTCGAGCAGGTAAAACAAAAAAAAACATTCTGAGCTTCCGCCAACTCAGGGCAGGGCCTTTTGGTGATGATCGTGGAAGAGGCGCAACTCTGACTCCAAGGTCATGCGCCCAGTGCTGAGGTTCGGAATACCCTGACTCGCGGCTCTCACAGCGGGTGCGTCTCAAAATAGGAGACAACCGAAAAATGGGGAATGTGTTATTTCAGTGTCCCTTCAATACCACCATTTCTAAAAGGGATATCCTCAAAAAAAGAGACACACTCTTTGAAGGTGACGCGCAACTGAAGCGTGGTTCTGTGCCAAGCACAAAGGGCCAGTTCCCAGCGCTACTTCGACAGGGCTACTGTGGATGGAAAGTCCATGTCGCACCTTTGGAAGGCTTCGATCCCCCTGTAAACACCGGGTGCACCTACCCCAAAATGGGACCGTTGGTTTTGACCCACAGCCAAATTGACTTCGCAACCATCCACAGTAGCGCTAAAGCAAAGAGATGTGCCTCCATGACGGACCTGAGCGCTGAAGCGAATTGGATTCCGCACTCCCGCGTCGTGCTCAAGATCCTGCGGAGAAAAAAGAAAACAAGCGCGGCCAGGAAGAAGCGTTGGCCGCTCATAGCTTGTCCCTTGCAAAAAGTTTCTTTCTATGTGGGATGTGGGATGTGTCATAAATCCCTCCCCCAAAAGTGTGTGTGTGGATGGGAACCTTGAAATGAAATCATGCACGCATTTGGAAACCCTTGCAACGAATCTTTTTAGCCGAATGACTTTCGCCAGACTCACAGAAACGCCTTGAAAACTTGGGAGGCGACGAGCATTCAACGTCTCCGCGGTTGATGTTGACCTCTGAGAGAATAAGTCCCCCACTTGCTGCTAACTGGGTCCTCTTAGTAGATATACCTTTCTTCAAGGACCCCCTTTCATTCAGAACTCGGGAGGGTTTATTCAGGGGAAAACCAACAGTGCCCTCAAAAAGGCAACACCCATGGGTGTGTGGCAAAACCGGGCCGCCTTGAAAAAGAGTGCAGTTGATGTGACATCCCCATGGACATTTCGGGGGCTCCCCCAAAAACGCCCTAGGACAGCAACTAAAGAGGCCACCTTGTATTTCCCATTTGGGCAAGCTTGTCAAGGCCCCAAAAGGTGATCATAATCAAATCTGGCCTCAACATGGACCAAGAAGGGAAAGCAAGGCGAATATCTGCACCCATTTCTGGCAAGGGGACTGTCCCCTATACCCTCCCATTGCCCGGATTTTGATAAAGGACCGCAAAATAAAAAGGTTCACCTTTTTGTGTACTAAAACTTGGAGCCCAACATGGGAGAACCAAGATCCGGTCAGATCAAAAAGGTCGATTCGCCTTGTGAGAAAAGGCCCATGATTAGAGTTAGGCCCAGTTATAGCATGTATGTTCTATTGTTTGCTTCACTTTGAGTCGCTGGTGAAATGCAAAATGTCTCCTAAGTCAACCCCGGTGAGGTCCTCCAGCAGAGAGGTTAGAATAAGGGCACCTGGCTGGGGGACCTAGAAAAGGAGACAACTCTCAAAGGCCCTGGTCAAAAGCCTCGGTACGGTGTACGCTTAGAACTGTACTCTTAGAACGGTTGACTCGCTTTGTGAGAAAAGGTCATGATCACTGGTAAAATGTAAAAATGTATCCTAAGCCTACTCCGGCGAGGTCCGCGTTTTCGGAACTTTGGTGCCACGCTCAGATCAGCCCATCTCGCTGGGGGAGTCCGAGACTGGGAGGGAGGCCAGGCCGGCGGCGAGATCTTCCTGCGCCCGACGGCCCGATGTCGGGCGCTTTCCGTAGCTGGGTGGCGCGTCCTTTTTGGTGGGGGTAATTATCCCGGTTTTTTGTTGTTTGTTGAGGGAAACCAAAAAAACATCCAAAGACACTCTTTCTTTTCTTCTTCGGGGGGTGGGGGCACTTTTTTTCAGGGGTTGGGGGGCAGGAACCCTTGTGGTGGTTGTTTTGAAGGGAGGCGAAAGTGAACAGCGCCCATTTGGGTCCCGTCTCCCTATTTTGAGACCAACGTTTCCCCCCCAAAAAAAAAAACGTAAAAGCAAAAAATACTTGCCTGAACCCTCAAACTACCCATTGAAAGGTGAGTTCACCATAACTTTGGGTTGCAATAATTCCCGCGTTTAAACCGGAATTTTGGTTGGGTTTAGGTAACCCTTACTACCTGAACCTCAAACTACCCACCCGTCAAAGCGGGATTCGCCACCCAGAGCTTTGGGCGCAAAAATACCGCCTGAGTTGGAACCCAAAAAAGGGAGAACCAGATCCGGAAAAAAAAAAACAAGCCCGAACCATTTTGGGTTGAACCACCCCCCCTTCAAGTTGGACTTTTGCCTTGCGTCTTTGGCGTCGCCAAACCCCCCGCAGCCCCCCAGAACCCCAGAGCCGGAAAGCAAAAAGCCTCCGGGTGATCCCTGCGGTAGTCCAGCAAATCCGCCAGGCCCACCCCGGGCAAGTGCCGGCTCGTGGCCCAGGTCTCAAGGCGCTGTGTGTCCAGCCCCCACCTGCCAGTGAAGCCGAAGCGGGGCGAAAGCTGGTGGGAGTTCTGCCAAAGAATTCCAGGGGGTGAGTCCTTGCCCATTTTCAACCATTCTTTTCAAAAAGCTGTTTCCTCTGGGGTTCTGATGGTTTTCTGAAAAGAAGGATCCTGGAAAGAATGGGGAAGTGTCCCCTAGGACAATGGGGCTATTGCCAAAATCATGGAATTAATTCCCCAAGCAGCAGAAGATACGGGCAGCAACTGAACTGTTTCCGAGTTCAAGGCTTGACAACTCAGATATAGCTGGGAGGACTTGTGATGCACTGCCATTCCGTCACAGCTCTTAAGACAATAGGGCCACCTAAAGGGTAAAATCTCCACAGTCATAATGTTGGGATGCAATAAATACCATGTTCAAATCGGAGGTATTGATTCCACTCCACAACGGATTTCGCACCATCTACCGTCTTTGGTGGTATTTGCCCATGAGAAAGGGACTTAACTCCATTTGGCTGCAGAAATTAGCTGCCAAAAAAATGGAGTTGTGCCGTTGGGGCTTCATTCCCCAGCAAAAGCAAAGAATGTCCATTGTTCTTCGACTTTTTCACACCTCCCCCCGTTTCCCCAGGACAGACCCAGTTTCTCACTATCTCAAACGACTCAAATTTTCACACCAGACTGTCCATAAATAACCAGAGGCACCCGCGTCAGGGACCCTACAAACCATCCACCCACTCGGGGCAATCTTTGGGTCTGGAGGTCGGATTTGGCGTCTGTCCTTTCAACTCAGATCCTGATTGGATCCACTTGAGTGGTCAATATGACAGCGAACAAGTGCCATCCCAAACTAGAGGCCAGGTCTCAAAGTACACCCCACATCGACCCATGGGACCCCCGGAATAATAACCCGCCTGGTTGATTGTTTTGGGGGAAGGGGGGGGGGGCCAGAATGATTTTTCTGTGGGGGGGGGGGGGGGGCATCATTTTTTTGGAGGGGCCCCCACCCTTTGAACTGGGCTGTCCTCAGACGCCCGGCCAAAAGCTAACATCAGGTGAAATGGACATCCCCCCTAAACACTAAAAAGCTAGGGGATGACCAGGAACCACCCCCACTAAAGACTCAAGCTAAAAGTGGCTAAAAGGATGACTGCGAACCACCAAGGCAACAGGACAAGTTGATGAATCTTGCTGGTGCCCAGTAGGGAATGTGGGAATGAACCCGGGCTTTGGTCCCCGTAAAGGAAACCACCTGGATGGTTTCTCTTGGGCTCATTCCAACTCCCTGCATCTCTCGCACCAGCAAGATCACTTAGGGAAGTGTTTCTTGAAGGGCTCCCTACTCCTTAAGCTTCCTTAAGGATTTCTAAGGAACCCTCAGCAACCAAAAAGGTACCTACCAAAGATGCCAAGCACTAAGGACTTTGGTTGCTCGATCTCTCAGCCTGCCTCTAATTGGTGATTAGGATTGGTGGTGTGGTTTGGTTAGGGTCCCATGTAATCGCCCTCTAGCCAGGGGTCATTCCAATTCCTACCGCAGTCCCTTCGCCAAGCCACTGCTCCGCCGCCAGCTGCGCCATCGCTCCCAGCCGTGCGCGCTTTGCACCCGGCCGATGGGCAGCCGCGGTCGCGTCGTCGGGCCCGGCGCCCGCGTCCGCGGGGGAGAGGCCGCTGACGGGGCGCTTCTTCTCGCGGCAGGCGCCGCCGGCCTTGTCCGCCTCGGTGTCCTCCTCCTGAGCCGAGGGGCTCTGACCCCGGACCCACAAATGGCTGTGGGTCACAAATGGCGCAACCCCAAAATGGGGCTGTTGCCCTGGTAAATGGACACATGGACTAGAACCTGCGGCCCCCGGCTTCATTTTGACCCAGACCCATCTGAAGCCTCAAACTGCCCAAGGCAAGAGAGTTCACCAACCAGAAGGTTGCGGCAGTATATAACTCGTGTTGAAGTTGGAATTTTGAAGGTCCAGGTAGTTTTTGTCCAGCCAACCTTTGTCTGTTTCGCAACGTACATGTCAGAAGCCGCAAACAATAAGGCACGGAGCTGGCAAAACACCATCTCCGCGGTTGGAACAACAGGCCAAAGCTTCTCCCAAAGCTTGCCATCCCGGCCAAGAAGCCCGCGCGCGAGAGCATTCGCCGGACATCCCGGCCGATGCAAATCGATTCGATCGAGCTGCCGATTCGTGAGGTGCTGAGCTCCAGGGATTTAGAACCAACTTGTCTCGAACCGAAACTGAACAACGGTGGTGCACGCGTCACCCCGAAAACATGAACCATGATTTCCTGCAAGCAGACAAGACTGCAATAGCTCATATTTTGGCAAAAAAACGCTCCATGGAAAGCGAGATGCCTTCCTTCCTAAGCCAAAAGTGTGCTGCGGGCGCTGAATCCTCTTCATGCCAACAAGAACAGCAGCTCATGGGGCAACAGCTCGAAAGCTCAAAAGAGCAGCCGTCCTGTGAGGGTCTGTTTCCTCATGCTCGGTCACCAGGCTCTTCTCTTGGTTTGTGTACTTGACCTGCGCGCACAATCTTCCGGCAGCAGCCAAATGGGTGCCAGTCGTAAACCGGGTTCCTCGCATTTCATGTTGTTTTGATTCATCGGGTCCAATTCTTTCAGTGAAAGCCCACTGCGCCCGCAATCCTTCCCGCCTTCAGCTCCCGCAACTTGTCGAGCACTGGGTTGATGGCATCCGCGAACATGTGCTCGATCTTCTTCTCCATGAAGTTGGCGAAGGCTTGGAAGCCAATGGTCTCGGGAAAAAAGAAGAAAGAGCAAAGAAAAAAGAAGAAGAGCCGCCGACCCCGCACTGCATCCCAGTGGCAAGCCCTTTCTGGTAGGCGCCCGAAAGGGCCATTTCCCTGTGGTTTTCACAAAGCTGGCAAGCTCTAGGAAACGGATCTGAAGATGAGGCAACTCATGGTGCGCATCTTTTGGATTTGGGCCGGGTCCCCAAACTGGACTCGCGCTTCGGTTTTCCGAGTTGGCCTCCCTGGAAAGGGCAGCCCCAAAACATGGCACCCGAATCCCTGCTTTGGACCACTTGCAAGGAGCTGCATCTGTGCCGCACATGTCTAAAAAAACGTTCCTGGGGAAATGGACCAACATGAGCAAACAAGTACCGGAAGCAACACATAAACTCACAAGTTATCCTCGATTTGCGTCAGACTGCTTGCTTTTGCCAGGGCTTCTTAGAATCTACCAGGCAAAAAAGGAAGAAAAAAAGAAGAAGAAAAAAGCCAAGGGCTCGAGGTGCTTCGCTCCGCGCCCTGGAATTCGCTTCAGCCTGCCTCGAGGTACGCCGGCTTCAATCCCCTCTGCTGCATCTCTGCAAGATCCTTCAGGCCAAAGACATGCAGAAATTGACCTAGGAACCAGGGGTGTCTGTTTTTTTTTTGCCACCTTTTGTGAGAACATTGGCGACCCTCTCAAAAAGGAATCCTTCACTACGAAAAGGTCCATCATTTTTCCACAAAAGGCGGCAAGAAGACCCCACTGCTAGGAAATTGGCCAACGCATGGCGAAATCCATCTACCTCTCCCAAGACCAGGGTATGTGCCAAAATGGGGGCGGAGGATAAATTGGCGGCGTCCCTTTTGAACTCCCTTTAGACTAGAACACCAACCTTCAACAGGGTAGCCTCAAAAACACCCAGCCACTGCTCCTTCTTGTTGTTCTCCTCCCTCAACTTCACAAAGGACTCGGCGGGGCAAGATTCGCCGTCCTGGCTGGGAGGTCCGGGTGGCAACAATGGACCGTGACTCAAGCGGCATCGGTTTTTCTTGCTGCTTCTCAGCAGGGAATGAGGGAATGACACCTATAAACCATTTTTGGTAGGTTTCCTTTAAAGGGAGCCCGAGTTTCATTCCCAATACCCTGGGTCATTCCCAACTGAGCACCAGCAAGGTTACGCAGGCATCAAAGCTGTCCTGCCAAAAGGGCAGAGTCAAGGCAAAGCGGATCAGCGTCTCTGGCAGGTCACCAAATCCATTGACCCACTGCTCCACATTGTCTCTCCTGCCAGTGGTATGTCAAATTGTCTGACAAAAGGTTTCGGAGTCGCGAGCAATTTGTTCTTGGTCGACAGCGTGAAGAAGTTCAGCTCTTTGAAGCTGTTGGATTGCGAATTCGGGGTACCAGCAGGGATCCTTACATTATACACCTAAACATTGCCTTGTAAATGGTGGTTTCCCTTTATTTTGGCGGAAAAAGCCATGTTTCAATTGGGCAACATGTATCTTTTAAGGAGCCCTGACCAAGATTCGGCAATCCTGGTTCGCGGTTCCGGCTTGGAAGCGCTCGCTTTTGAATGGATTTGTGTTGGCGTGAACCACCAAATGCTGGCACATGATGTGCATGGTACTAAGGCTGGGCTCAAGACACTGGATTATTTCGTCCTGTTCGGGTGCAGGGCACCAACTGGTGTGTTTTTTTGAGGGTTTGAATGCACCCCTGCAATTTAAAGAGGTAAAGCACAGAAGAGGAGTGTTCCAGTGTTTCTTCTGAATGGCAAGCTCTCTGCAAGTTGGCTCTTCACAGGTCCAGCGAAAGCATGCTATGCAAAAGTCTGCTCGGCAAGCACATATAGGGCATCACTGAGTGTCTGGTGCGCATCGGGGTATGCAAAGAGGGGTATGAGGTGTGTAACAAAGGATGCGAGGGGTGTGTAACCAGCTAGCAAGTCTTGTTACATAGGGTACGTAACGGGGCAAGTCACGAATGTCCGCCGCGCCTCTGTTCCAGACCTCTCAAAAAAGTTCGCTGCCATATGTGTATGACTAGACTATACTAATATGGCATGAAACAATGTGGTCAAAGAGGCCCTTCATGTCATGAGGCATCAGACAGCGTTTGCCCGGGACTGAGGTTCAGGCGTCAGGTCTTGGTAATACTTGTCCAGCTTGGTGCGAACCAAGATTGTCCTGGGAAGCATGCGCACGCTGCACTTGCCCAAAACATCCACGCAATACGATGTCTCCCATGTCGCTCCTTTGAAACTTGGGGTCGATTTGGCGGCACTTGCCCAAGGTCGACATCGTGGCAGCATCACCACACTGCGCGCAGGGATGCTCAAAGGAAGCCAAACTGCTCTTTGAAAGTACAAGTGCACTGTGACGAGCCGCACAAACTAACTTCGGATATATATCTTGAGGACCATACTAATCAGGCGGGGTTCCCCTTTAGTCAGGACATATTCTATGTTGGGAAATCCTCTGACCAGTAGGGTCCTCCTCGTTAAATCCGAAGTCAATCAGAACATGCTCGCAAGTTCCATCCAAGGCCTGCTCCACGCAAAGCATGACATTGCGTGTATCCTTCATGAAGGTCATGACAAGCTCCTCAATCCTGGTCGAGAAGTCTAAGTTAGACCGAAGGAGGCTCGCGGATGCTTCTGGCTCGGAAGCCGAATCAAGTTGCCTGCTCTGGGACGAAATCCTACACCACTTTGATGATGATTCCCCCATATGGCTCATTCCCATATGTTTCATTTCGTGGTGCGAGACCGACAGCATGTTGTTTTGGGTTTGCCTAGACTCTACGAGGGGACGAAAATGCTGCGGAAGGCTAACAAGACTGTGGAGAACGCTTCACTGATTTGAGCACCAACCGGCAATGTTGTTGGCGAAGCTTGCGATGACTCCTCTTGATCGCTGCTGTTGTCCTTCCACGGGTCCGTTTCTTTTCTCTCCTACTTTGTCTCTTCGTAACTGGACAGCCTGTGATTCTGAATGCAGTAATGAAGAGCCTATGTACTTCGATTCTTACCATGGAAGTAGTGGCACAAGCGTAATATCGGGCCAGATTGACGACATCTTTCTTGCTGGCTTGCTTGCTTGCTGGCTTGCTTGCTTGCTTGCTTGCTTGCTTGCTCACCCACCCACCCACACCCACCCATCCACCCCTGCCTGTTACAAAGATCCTGCTTGGACTGATCCAATGCAAAGTCTCGGAAGCCAGGAAGGTCCACAATCTGCATGTCCACACAAGACGGCGACCTGAGATCTCACTCTCAGCGCAAAGTGTCAGAACATCTGAGCCAAGCTCAGAATTGCGTGTTCCGCAAGAGGACATGGACAACTTGTGAGTCCCCTGGAATCTGTAACACATTTGGAGCGCGTGCCCCATGTCCCTCCTGAATGGACCATAGACTATTGGTACTTTTGACCGAACCCCACATGTTCCTCCCTCGCTGAGCCACTGAGCCACAGGTCAAGGATTGAATATTTGGAGAAACCCCTAGACGTAACCCAGGTAGACTCAAACCCAGGTTGACACGCTCCAGGGGCAGCCTGGGTTTAAGTCTATCTTGAGTCAAAAAAATGCCTCGCCCTCTTGCCACAGCTCCCAGCTGTACCCGCACGCAAATTGGGTCTGCGGAGACCTTGGCCAGTTGCGAGTTCCCGAGCACAATTTGCGAAGCCGACACGTTCGCATTGTGAGGTCTCCAACTATTTTCTAGAATGCTGCATCTCAGCAAGGAATGAGCTGGTATGACCCCGAGATAACCATCCCCTATGTTTTACTTTCAGGCAATCCCTAGGTTCATTCCCAAAACCCTGGCACCAGCAAAATAAGGGTAGAAAGTTGGTCCATACTTGGGTGGCCAACCAACTTGAGGTAGGCTATAACCATGGTTACAAGCCAACCAACCCCAGTTACCAAGCAGTATAAACCTGGTTGCAACCTGCTTACCTCACGCTGGTTGAAGATCCAGGGTAGAAAGTTGGTGCCAAGCCAAGTTTCTCGTTGCCCTGACGACAGGGTTGCCACATGTCATTCCCTTTTACCACAGACGGGACATTCTGACCAATGCTCACATGGCAACAAGTGTCTCTTCAACTTGCTGGTTCTCAGCAGGGAATGAGGGAATGAACCCAGGGGTCCCTTTAAAGGAAAGCATAGGGGATGGTTCATGGGGGTCATTCCCTCATTCCCTGCTGAGCACCAGCAAGGCCAAGATGGCAGAGAGATGGAGAAATGAAACAGAGTGTTCGCTGAAAGCAGCAATTCCTTCTGCTTCCGATGCGGGTTTTGATTGCAAGAAACCAAAATCAACACCTTGCAGCTGATCTAGATCGCTTTGATCCAATTTAGTTGCAAGCTTGGTTGCTGTTGGCCCTCTGCAAAGAGTTCAAATTTCTGTGGATCCAATGGACAATCCACTGTTTCCCAACAAGTCGAAGGTCAAAAACATCCAACCAAATAGACATAAAGCAAAGAGGTGTGCGAAAACGCTTCCGACAGTCCGGCACCAAGTACCGAGCCTCTGTCCAACTATGGAAGTGGACACAGAGGGGTTCTCCAAAAGGAAAGCTTTCGTCTTCCACCGTCAAGTGGCTGTGGGTCAAAACCAATGGTACCATTTTGGGGTAGGTACACCACCCATTTTAGTCTATTTTAGTGGGGATTGGGATGTTCACTGGGGCTGGGGGTGCAGGACTTTGACCCATGGCCAAGTGTCGGCTTCCGTGATGGGAGGGAGGGTACCCTCCTGTCCAACATGGAACCTGACTGAGGGGTTCGGGAAAACAATCTTGCTTGGCAAAAGAGACCTTGTGGTGGGTTCACTGAGGTGGGTTCACTGAGGGAAGACAATTTTTCGTTGGACCCTCGGGTGAGTTCCTTGCATGGCAACGTGGGTAATGAGATCCAAGGCCAGGTCTGTCTCTCCAAGCTCCTCGTGAGCATTTCCAACCTCAGCCACGGGCACTCAGAATGGCGCTTTAAACCAGCCCCAAAATGTGTACCCTCTTTAAAGGACACAAAATCAAATTATTCTAGGGGGGTGGGTCCTTGCTAAATCCGACACATTCCGACAAAGGTCGCCCGAGCATTGACCCTGAAGAGTGGTTTTTTCCCGATTGATTTGGGTTTGTCGGTTTTGAGGCTCGGTACCTCTTTTAGAGTGGTTTAAAGGGAAACCAATAAGAACCAGTTGGGAGGCTTCCCCATTGGAGGCTTCGCCGCACCCATGGACCCATGGGCCCGTTGACAGGTGGAACGCTACGCAGGGAACCGCGCCAACTCCATGACTTTGCTGATCTCGTGCTCGTTCCAGCTACCATTCGATCGGTCCCTCACGAACCTGGCCACAGAGGTCGAGGGCGCTGGTTTTCAGGCTAAGAGTTTTTGAAGATATTATATACCGGGCTGCAAGCTTGGATTTGAGGTACATTCGTCCATACCTCCGAAACCTGCTGGAAATGCCCTTGAAGATGGATTCTCCAAATAGGAATCGGTCCAAGATGGCTGGCTTCCTTTTGGGTTCCTACCAAACACAAGGGGGTCATAAGCCATTTGAGAAAGTCTGGTCCGCACTGGTTCGTCACCAGTCAGGTTGAAGCTGGCATGTCACACCTGGGTTGCTTTTTTGGCATACGCCTCTCAAGCTTGGCTTTCTCCGGAAATCGCCGGAAAACCTGGAAATCCACTGCTTCTGCCCCCCCCCAGAATTCATCAATTCATCTGCTCCCCCCCTTTTAGTTGGAACCAAAAGGAAACCAAAAGGAAAGCCTTTTTCTTTCTAGGGGCACGATTCTCACTGGAGGCTGTTTATTTTTAGGACCCACCAGATGGCGCAACGGTCTTCCTTTTGGCTTTCCTTTCAAACCACCAAGAAGAGTACCTCTCCAAATTCCAGTCAAAGAATGGGTTGCAACCCCACAATGCTGGCTGGTGGATTCCAGCTCGAAAGACGACTCGGTCCCGCCATCGGGAGGTCTTGGATCCGGCCACGTTTCGGAACTCCAGGATCGTGGGGCGTCTGCTGCCTGCAGTCAACATGATGGCCACGGGTTGTTGTTTTTGGGGGGGGGTTCAGGGGAAACCCAAGAAAAACCCTCACCGTGTTGGGGCTCCAAAAAAAAAGCCGCACATATCCCTACTGTGGATGGTTGCACTACCTTTCAGAAACCCAACATAATGACTCGATTCCCCAACGTAAAAACCAAACAATGGTTTCAACCATGGTTTCACTTCGTGGTGCAGGATTTGCGTCCCTCCACAGTAGGCCACGTTGTTGCCTTTTCTCCCAATGTTTTAGCCCGTTCCATTACCGGACTTCCACTTTTTGGAAACACTTGTGGAGTTTTGCTCAACAAATAGCAACTAGTTGAGGGGCGCCGATGTCACGCGATCCCTGCAAATCCCTAGAGATCCCCCACTTCAACCAGCCGCAACCAGCGCTCTATTCCTCCAAGCCAGCCCTACCCCTCACCACCCGAAAAAAAATCCCACCGCAAACCCACCCTAAATTTTGAGCGGTGTTCGGCAACCTTCCCCTCGACCTGCGAGCTGCTTCAAAACGCCTCATTGCAGCAGCCTGAAACCAGGAAACCCCTTCGGCCAAACTCGCGAGAATCCCATGTAGTTTTGGTGACTGGGGTGGTCGTTGCCATCGCCGACTGTGGATGGTTACGAAATTCACTTCACACCACCTAAGTCACCCTGCCACTTGACTCATTCCGAGAGGGCATGGTCGTCTGTCTCGACGCCTGGTTCGTCGGCTCCCATGGAGGGCTTCTCGGGCCCGGCCTAAAGTGCCGGAGATGAAGTTGAAGGTCTCCCCTGCAAGGGCCTCCGCGCCGAACACGGAACACGCAGATGGAGGCGAAAATACAACAATCGCGCCTTGCAGAAACCCGAAACCCTGGAATGGTCCGATATTCCAACGAAAACGCCGCAACACACCCTTCTGATTTTCTTTCCATGGTTTCATTTCGTGGTGCGAGACTCGCGGATTTCGCAACCATCCACAGAATGTCGATAGCATTTGACTTGCAAAACCCAGTCAACTGCATCCAGGGCGCTGAAATCGACCGAACATCTACGAGTCTGCTTGCAGCTTCCCTTCAATTGGCGGATTGGCTAGTTTTGATCATTGCCCCACAAAAGCCAGGGCTTCAAACTCCTCCACATACTCTCTTTTGAGGGTATTTTTGGACTGGCTTTCCAGGACAAATACCCTCCTCTTCTAGTAAAGGGTTGTTCCACGGTGCTTGGTCTGTGGAGAAACTGGGGAAAAAGCACGCCGCTTAAAAGATTTTTTTTTTTTTTTTATGGTTCTGGGTCAAAACCCCGGTGGTTTGGTGAACACCCGGAAAGCCCTCTAAAAAGACAACACTGGAGTGGTAATCATCCACGAGCAGGCACCTTAGGCAGCCTTGTAAATGGTGGTGTCCCTTAATTTTGCTGGAAAAAGCCATGTTTCAAATGGGCAAAATGTATCTTTCAAGGAGCCCTGTTAGGTTTTGAGCCACAACCCTCCGGCACCTCAATGAGCCGGCTCTTGCCCACGGACTGCTTGCCGATGAGAATAAACTGAGGCCTCGAGGAAAACACCGACGTCCGAAGCGCCCCAAAGGAGCGGGTCTTCCACCGACGCCGGGAAAGTTGGGCACCGTAGATGGACCAAATCAATTTTCAACTTCGCACCTTTTAAGCAGCCCTGGAATGAATCGATTCCAACAAACAATGGGTTCAGCCATGGTTCAAAGTGGTGCAGGATGTCGTCCTTCCACAGTATGGTGAAAGCTTGGGTAACTGGGATTGGTCCCCTTGTAGGCATGGCTACAACCTACTCAATTGGTTCAACATCCCACAATGAGCCCCCTTTTACCGCCATGGAATCGCCGTTGGAATCCGATTCCAACCCGGAAACATCCCCTCGCAGTGTGTAACGATTCCCTGGTCAAGACCCGCTCATGGGGAAGTCCACGATGCCAATCTTGTCCTGCGGATGCCGAAGAAATCAGAGTTCCCTGCCTTCCCTCTTTTGTGGGTAGTTGTAACATCTCCCTTTTAAGCATCTTGAAGTGACTTTCCATCGCTTTCAACTTGGGTGACCTTTCACCGAGACTTTGGTGAGCGATCAATGTTCCGCCGGCCTGCACCCGAGCTTTGACATCGCCCAGCAGGTTCAGCAACTCGGATCTCGATCCAACGCCTCCCATTGGGCAGCCAGAAGAAAAAAAAAAGTGTTCAATTGGGCAGCCCCCAATGATCAGTGAGAAAAAAAAAAAAAAACGAGAAACAAAAATGAGAAAGTAGAGAACATTGGCTAGGCCCACCAGACCCATGTCCCTCTCCAACCTATCGAACGACAGACAAGTCCCTTTAGTTCGAATTAACCGGGCGTGAGGCAGGCCTGCCATTGCAGCTGGTCTCGACGCTAATCCAAACACTAAACACTGAGCCAGAAGGCCATTGCGGAAATGAGTGCAGCCAGAAGAGGTAATTAGCAGACTTGCATCTGGCTTTAGCCCAAAATTGCCCAAAACCAAGCACACATCTCTTTTGCTGGGTCTAGCTCATGCCGGTTTGCAACATTGTCTGCATGCCCGACGCAGGTTGGCTTCAACACGCTGAGATACGACCACGGAAATAATCTGGAAAAATGTGACAACTGTTGAGTACAAAGTGCAATGAGTGTGTCCATTAGTCGCCATCAGAAACAGCATGTGGACAGTCCTCGGAAAGAATTCCTCAGAGACGGTCAATGCACTTCAGATCCTCCATGCACTGCACCAGACGGTCTGCCATGACCTCCTCGCCCGCTCGCAGGGACATGCGAGGGTCGTAGTACTTCTTGTTGGGCTTTTCAGGCCCCTCCGGGTTGCCGATCTGGGCCTGCAGGTAGTCCTTGTTCTTCTTCTGGTACTGGTTCATGCCATCCCAGAAGGCCCACTGGGTGTCGGTGTCAATGTTCATCTTCACCACGCCCGCCTCAATGGCATAGCGGATATCCTCAAGCGAGGAGCCCGAGCCGCCGTGGAAGACAAAGGACATGGGCTTGTCGCTCTCGCAGCCCAGCTTCTCCTTCACGTACTTCTGAGTGTTGTGCAGGATCACCGGCTTCAGGTCCACGTTGCCCGGGGCATAAACCCCGTGCACGTTGCCGAAGGCAGCTGCCACCGTGAAGTTGCCGTTGGGCACGGAGGAGAGTTCCTCGTAGACCTGCCAAACCTCCTCAGGCTGCGTGTAGAGACGGGAAGAGTCCACATCCGTGTTGTCCACGCCATCCTCCTCGCCGCCAGTCACACCCAACTCCATCTCCAGCAGTATGTCGATCTTGGCCATTCGCTCCAAGTACTTCTTGCAAATGGCAATGTTCTCCTCCAAAGGCTCCTCCGACAGGTCCAGCATGTGGGACGAGAAGAGGGGCTCGCCGTGCAGCTTGAAGTACTCCTCGTTTGCCTCCATGAGGCCATCGAACCATGGCAGCCAGGCCTTCTGGCAGTGGTCCGTGTGGAGGATCACAGGCACGCCGTAGAGCTTGGCCACCTGTCGCACGTGGAGCGCTGCCGCCACGGTGCCCGCAATGCAGGCAGCATCGTCGGTGTTGTCCGCAGCCTTGCCGGCAATGAACTGGCCGCCGCCACGAGACAAGGTCACCATGACGGTGCCCTTGGCCTTCTTTGCCGCCTCCATGCAGGCGTTGATGGAGCTGCTGCTCACGCAGTTCACGCCAGGGATGGCGAACTCGTTCTCCTTGGCGTAGTTCAGCAGGTCCACCAGCGCCTTGCCCGTGACCACTCCTGGCTTCACGGACGCCGGCATCTTTGCGAAGGCCTTCTCCGTCTTCTCTGCGGTGGCCGTGGCCTGGCGAACCACCTGGCGCCGCACGGCGCGCTTGCTCTGCGCGGTCGCCGCTGCCACGGCAGCCACGCCAAGCGCCAGCGCCCCTGCAGAGGCGCAGGAGGAGGAAGTGGCCGCCTCAGCCGGCTGCTGGCGCAGGTGCCGCACCTGCTGTTCCCGGCTCACCTGCGGTGCAGATGGAGCCAGGAAGGCTTGGGCAGCCGCATAGGCGCCAGCGCTGGCAAGAGCCACCGAGCACGCCTTGGAAGGCATGGCACTTAGTATTCCTGGCAGGTGCGAAAAACTCGGCTCTTGATCCAAAATTCTGCCCGAGCTTGACATCCAACAAGTCCTTGACTGTATCAAGCGGTCCGACTTTACCAACCTTGGCTCAGTTCGCGAATGAACAATGTGATACCTTCGCTCTCCTGCAAAGGCGTGCACCTGCCTACCCGGCAAGATGCATGTAAGTAAGCTTGCTGAGAAGATGCCCCTACTTGCACGTTATGTGAGTTCACGTCCCCGTCAAAATGTCTGCCATTTGTGGCCATCCAAATGTCCATGGGTAGATATCTGCCTCATGTACGTCGTCTTTCTTACTCCAGGAGTCCAGCAGCTGCGATCTTCAATCTGGAGGCACTGTGAAACAGCACCGCGAAGCGCCATAGCATTCGCAATCGGCGCTTGGAGAGCTGCAATTCGGTACCTCGGTTTTTTTCTTGTTTCTCACATCTGACGTACCAATTGCACATTCTTCTGCCACAAAATGAGTCCAAGACCTGCTTTTGCGTTGCCGAGATTGCTCACATGAGACTTCTCCGACTCCCATGACTCCCAGCTCGCTTTCAGCACCTGGATTCATCCAGCACGAGGGATCTGAAGGAGACCTGGTCGCCATGGGAGATGGCAAGCTAGGAGGCTCTATGTGACGATCCGATGCTAAGACCCGCTCATGGGGAAGTCCATGTCAGTCTTGTCCTGCAATCCCTGCGTCTCTCACGCCGATGAGAGGATCAAATGACAAGTCGTGACACCGACATAGATTTGACATCGCCCACGCCATCAACTCACGTTCGACGCTGGCAAGCTTGCCCTTTGAGGCTTTGGCACAACAAACATGCACGTGACTCGAAATTTTAGGCACTGGCTGCTGCACACCGCATCCTGCATCTCGTGCCGGGCTTAAAAGAAAACCTGAAGCTTCGCCTAAGTCTTGGAAAAATGGAGGCGCTTCGTGCACGACAAAGCTGGCAGTATCTGCCGCTTGCCAGTTCTCATGCGTTAAAATGTTGCAAACCAGCACCTCAAAGGCGGTCAATGCACTTCAGGTCCTCCATGCACTGCACCAGACGGTCTGCCATGACCTCCTCGCCCGCTCGCAGGGACATGCGAGGGTCGTAGTACTTCTTGTTGGGCTTCTCAGGCCCCTCCGGGTTGCCGATCTGGGCCTGCAGGTAGTCCTTGTTCTTCTTCTGGTACTGGTTCATGCCATCCCAGAAGGCCCACTGGGTGTCGGTGTCGATGTTCATCTTCACCACGCCCGCCTCAATGGCATAGCGGATATCCTCAAGCGAGGAGCCCGAACCGCCGTGGAAGACAAAGGACATGGGCTTGTCGCTCTCGCAGCCCAGCTTCTCCTTCACGTACTTCTGAGTGTTGTGCAGGATCACCGGCTTCAGGTCCACGTTGCCCGGGGCATAAACCCCGTGCACGTTGCCGAAGGCAGCTGCCACCGTGAAGTTGCCGTTGGGCACGGAGGAGAGTTCCTCGTAGACCTGCCAAACCTCCTCAGGCTGCGTGTAGAGACGGGAAGAGTCCACATCCGTGTTGTCCACGCCATCCTCCTCGCCGCCAGTCACACCCAACTCCATCTCCAGCAGTATGTCGATCTTGGCCATTCGCTCCAAGTACTTCTTGCAAATGGCAATGTTCTCCTCCAAAGGCTCCTCCGACAGGTCCAGCATGTGGGACGAGAAGAGGGGCTCGCCGTGCAGCTTGAAGTACTCCTCGTTTGCCTCCATGAGGCCATCGAACCATGGCAGCCAGGCCTTCTGGCAGTGGTCCGTGTGGAGGATCACAGGCACGCCGTAGAGCTTGGCCACCTGTCGCACGTGGAGCGCTGCCGCCACGGTGCCCGCAATGCAGGCAGCATCGTCGGTGTTGTCCGCAGCCTTGCCGGCAATGAACTGGCCGCCGCCACGAGACAAGGTCACCATGACGGTGCCCTTGGCCTTCTTTGCCGCCTCCATGCAGGCGTTGATGGAGCTGCTGCTCACGCAGTTCACGCCCGGGATGGCGAACTCGTTCTCCTTGGCGTAGTTCAGCAGGTCCACCAGCGCCTTGCCCGTGACCACTCCTGGCTTCACGGACGCCGGCATCTTTGCGAAGGCCTTCTCTGTCTTCTCTGCGGTGGCCGTGGCCTGACGAACCACCTGGCGCCGCACGGCGCGCTTGCTCTGCGCGGTCGCCGCTGCCACGCCAGCCACGCCAAGCGCCAGCGCCCCTGCAGAGGCGCAGGAGGAGGAAGTGGCTGCCTCAGCCGGCTGCTGGCGCAGGTGCCGCACCTGCTGTTCCCGGCTCACCTGCGGTGCAGATGGAGTCAGGAAGGCCTGGGCAGCCGCATAGGCGCCAGCGCTGGCAAGAGCCACCGAGCACGCCTTGGACGGCATGGCACTGAGTATTCCCGGCAGGTGCGAAAAACTCGGGCTCTTGATCCAAAACTCTGGCATGCGTGACTCTACCCGCCGACTCGCACTTCCAAATCCGCACCAACTCACCGACGCACGGCGCCAGCTGCGCTGCGTGCCCAACTTCCCGCCGGCCTCGGTGAAGGGGATCTTCTTCTTTGCCTGAGCCAATCAGCGGGACACCCAGCGACGCATGCATCAGGTGGACAGAAAGGGGCGCTGCGAGTATTGAAGCTTTGGACTGCATCAGATCAACACACAGAACTGAAAAAAAGAAGCAACTGCCCAAACCGAAATTCTCGCAACTGGAGTAACTAGCAGGAAACTGCGACGTTTGACAACTGGGTCTGTTCCAAAATAGGGGAACCACTAAAAAAAATGTGTTCATGTCGGTTGTCTTTTAAAGCAGCCCCCAAAAGGGCACCTGAATGGCGTGCAATCACGGGATGCAAATACACATGTTGTCAAGTCTTAACAACCAACCTCGAGGAGTTAAATAGCATGCCGGTGTGTCTTTTGTTGAAGGCAACCTTTTGCTCTGTGCTGTTTAAAGGAAGTTTAAAGGAAAACCGCCATACAATTTGTTTGTTTTGGGGGGGTCTCTTAGAAACTGACACACCCATGTGTTTGCTTTTTTTTTCTCCCAGGATGTGTATTTTGCCGATTGCACGTTGAGATTCGAGAGAGTTGATTTCGTGGCAGTTGCTCGCATCGACCGTTCCCTTTCGCAGAGTGTCACTGAGAAAGGAAGGCAGGGATTGCACAATTGCAACTGTGGATGGTTGCGAAATCCATTTCGCACCACCTTGGAAATCCTGGGATGATACGATTCGCCTGCAAGTATCGACAAATAATTGTTTCCCATGGTTTCAAACTGGTGCAGGATTTCATCCATTCACAGTGTGGAATTCTAAAAGTGCATTGCATAAGTGCCAATGGTTTTGAATACATGCAAATTGAAAGGCTGTTCTGCCCCCAAGGGGATAGTTACCTCCTTTCAAACAGCTTGTCTTCTTTGCAGAAGTGGTTCTCTGCAGAGCGTAGAGCCGAACGTTCAGGGGCATTGTTTGGCAGTCCTCATCCGTTTACTGTCCCATTGCCTGCAAACTACTTTTCAAAAAAAAATGAAGGTAGGTGTTCCTGGACCCTCAATTTCTGGGTGATTAGAGCGTTCAGGTTGTTATTTATGCCTCTACTGCACCAAAAGTGCAACGTTTGAGCCAGGAGTCCGAAACGGCGAAGTATCCACCGGAAATGGGACGCACTGAACGTTCACGGCCAGACATTCCCAAAACAGCCCTGATGTAGACTTCCCAGAAAGTTCCCAGCCCAAAACCGCCCGGGGTTTAATGGGGTATACAAGGACAGCCACAGGATATGTATCTTGATTTCTCCTGAGTTTCCAGCATGTAACCGGGCTCTCAGGTTTGCCGCCGCACCTTGCAAGGCTCGGGCTCGGTTCCTGGGGGAACCGGCCACAACTCGGTCGGTGGGTGTGTCTTAAGGTCGGACCCGGAATGGCGCAACGGCTTGCCTGTTGGTGTCATCTTCAAGACAAACAAAAAGGCGGCGTCAAAAAGACACACGCACACACGCACACAGACACACAGGTGAGCTTCAGGTGGAAAACATTCCAAAAGCTTCAGTGTGTCTGTGACCTGTCTCAAGTCCAAACCAAGACACGCGCATAAGGAAGTCCACGATGCCCTGCCAAGCAAGCAACCGCAGGGAAACCAATCTGCTAGGCATTCCAAACATTGCTTTTTGCGGAGACGATGCCTGCCGGCTGGATTTTGCGTGTATGTGACTGTCTGTGTTCTGCATCAAATGCTAAGATTCAGACAACACTTAAGTCTTAGCCGAAGTTAGGAAAAAATGAAGGCGCTTTGCGCACGACACAGCTGGCAGCAATTATCTGCCGCTTGCCGGTCCTCATGCATTGACATGTTGCAAAACAAAACCTCACAGACGGTCAATGCACTTCAGGTCCTCCATGCACTGCACCAGACGGTCTGCCATGACCTCCTCGCCCGCTCGCAGGGACATGCGAGGGTCGTAGTACTTCTTGTTGGGCTTCTCAGGCCCCTCCGGGTTGCCGATCTGGGCCTGCAGGTAGTCCTTGTTCTTCTTCTGGTACTGGTTCATGCCATCCCAGAAGGCCCACTGGGTGTCGGTGTCGATGTTCATCTTCACCACGCCCGCCTCAATGGCATAGCGGATGTCCTCAAGCGAGGAGCCCGAACCGCCGTGAAAGACAAAGGACATGGGCTTGTCGCTCTCGCAGCCCAGCTTCTCCTTCACGTACTTCTGAGTGTTGTGCAGGATCACCGGCTTCAGGTCCACGTTGCCCGGGGCGTAGACCCCGTGCACGTTGCCGAAGGCAGCTGCCACTGTGAAGTTGCCGTTGGGCACGGAGGAGAGTTCCTCGTAGACCTGCCAAACCTCCTCAGGCTGCGTGTAGAGACGGGAAGAGTCCACATCCGTGTTGTCCACGCCATCCTCCTCGCCGCCAGTCACACCCAACTCCATCTCCAGCAGTATGTCGATCTTGGCCATTCGCTCCAAGTACTTCTTGCAAATGGCAATGTTCTCCTCCAAAGGCTCCTCCGACAGGTCCAGCATGTGGGACGAGAAGAGGGGCTCGCCATGCAGCTTGAAGTACTCCTCGTTTGCTTCCATGAGGCCATCGAACCATGGCAGCCAGGCCTTCTGGCAGTGGTCCGTGTGGAGGATCACAGGCACGCCGTAGAGCTTGGCCACCTGTCGCACGTGGAGCGCTGCCGCCACGGTGCCCGCAATGCAGGCAGCATCGTCGGTGTTGTCCGCAGCCTTGCCGGCAATGAACTGGCCGCCGCCACGAGACAAGGTCACCATGACGGTGCCCTTGGCCTTCTTTGCCGCCTCCATGCAGGCGTTGATGGAGCTACTGCTCACGCAGTTCACGCCAGGGATGGCGAACTCGTTCTCCTTGGCGTAGTTCAGCAGGTCCACCAGCGCCTTGCCCGTGACCACTCCTGGCTTCACGGACGCCGGCATCTTTGCGAAGGCCTTCTCTGTCTTCTCTGCGGTGGCCGTGGCCTGACGGACCACCTGGCGCCGCACGGCGCGCTTGCTCTGCGCGGTCGCCGCTGCCACCCCAGCCACGCCAAGCGCCAGCGCCCCTGCAGAGGCGCAGGAGGAGGAAGTGGCTGCCTCAGCCGGCTGCTGGCGCAGGTGCCGCACCTGCTGTTCCCGGCTCACCTGCGGTGCAGATGGAGTCAGGAAGGCCTGGGCAGCCGCATAGGCGCCAGCGCTGGCAAGAGCCACCGAGCACGCCTTGGAAGGCATGGCACTTAGTATTCCTGGCAGGTGCGAAAAACTCGGGCTCTTGATCCAAAATTCTGCCACACGCGGCCGCTCTCCGCTGAATTACTCACCCTTTGAATAAAAACACAATCCACGTCAAAATGCGCACAAGCAGCAAGCTGCGCGCCCAACTTTCATTTGCTGGCCTCCCTACCTGTGGTAGCAACTTTCGTCATCGCATCGCCAGGGCGATACACAAACATTGGCGTATCTATCACACATTTTGCGAATACACGGATTGCTTTTGATTCTGCCCTTAAATGCCTTAGTCGTTAGTGCCCAAAGTAAACTTGTCATCTCGGCGCTCTGTGCACCTGCCGTGACTTTGAGCTGGCATGCACCAAGAAAACATGGCCAGCTATCGAAATTCAAACATCGAGTACAGTACACGTGTCCTCAATTTGCAACACAAATGACATGTCCACCAAAGCACCAGTATTCACGCAGCATCATTCTGCCATATTCTGCCCCTATCTGCCCCTCTGTGTGTCCGGCTGTCAGCACTTGTTTGCCCCAGCCTAGCCTTGTACCCTTGTATGTGTGCTCGTGTTTCTGGTTGCGTTTGTGCTCGTGTGTATGTGCAATATGTGTATTTGTCGGTTTGTGGGTTTGTGTGAGTCTGCAGCGACTCTCAGCATTACAATGGCCCTCGCCAGAATACTCAGGGGAATTCTAAGGGACTAACATGGTTAGTTGGATTGCTTCCGCTGGCTGTGTACTTTGCCCCTGTTACACTAGGGTGTTTGCCCCTTCAGCCACGTGCGGCCAAGTGAAGTCAAGGCACGTCAGCTTGCTGCAGGGAGCAAGCGAGCCGAAACTCCATAATCCAAACTGACCATTTACACCCTTGCGAGATCAGCTTGCTTGCTTGTGTGCGTGTTGTGTGTGTGTGTGTGTGATGTGCGTGTGGCGTGCAGGCGTGCTCGCGCGCGTGCCCGTGAGCGCGTATGCCCGTGTGGGCGTTTGCGAGGGCGCGGGCAAAGGCGCGGGCGCAGGCGCGGGCGTGGGCGCGCGCTGGCTCGTTGGCGCGTGGTGTGTGGTGTGTGTGTGTGTGTGGGCGCGGGTGCGCAGCGTGGTGTGCGGGTGTGCGCGTGCGAGAGTGCAACTGTGCACATGAGCGAGAGGCAAAACCTAAGACTACTTTGGGCGATTTCGAGCAACACGTTATCGTTTTTGGGGCTTCGCTATATCGTTCTGCAATGTTTCAGACACTGGTGTGTTTATGTCAAGGAAGGGTGGAAGGGGGAAAGAGAAAGAATGGAGGAAGAGAGCAGAGGAAGAGAAACTGGGAGGAAGAGAAAGCAGGAGGAGAAAGGACGAAGGGAAGAAGGATGGGAGGAAGGGATAAAGGAATCCAGGGAGTAAGGGAGCAAGGAAGGATGGGGCAATGGAAAAAGGAGGGTGGAAGGGAAGGGAGGAAGAGGAAGGGAGGAGAGGAGGAAGAGGAAGGGAGGAGAGGAAGGGAGGAAGAGGAAGGGAGGCAGGGCAGAAGAGGAAGGGAGGCAGGGCAGAAGAAGAAGGAAGGGAGCAAGGGAAGAAGGCAGAAGCCAGGAAGGCAGGAAGGCAGGAAGGCAGGAAGGCAGGAAGGCAGGAAGGCAGTAAGGCAGGAAGGCAAGAAGGCAGGAAGGGTGTAGATGCTGCGCCTCCCACAAGCTCCATGACATGCTTTTTGACGCTGGTTCCAGACCGCCCGCAAGCACCTGGAGGTGGAGCAGGGCCCACACGCTGACCACCACTGATTGATGAGTAAGCGGTGGCCCGCCTTTTGTGCTTTCCGGGTGTCGTTGAGGTATCGTTCAGAGTATCGTTCAGACAGCCCTCCAAAACCAGAAAATTTTGCCCATTCTCTCAGTCCAGGGCATGTGCCAAAACCAGCTACACGTTGCGTGCGTGCGCCTCGCAGCCCGGACTGCTGTCCGGTGACTTGGTAGCTGCAAGCGAGACTTATAGACAACTTGAAGCACAGCAGCACCATGCAGCACCTTTTACTTGGGCACGGCTCCACCTCTGAGTCCACAAGCTCTTTTCGAGCACGAGCAACGAATGGGCCACCCCCCCGCGCCATGTGAACGCTGCAATTCCAGGGGTGTGGTTTCGGTGTCGTTTTGGATATCGTTTTGAGCAAGAAGTACTTCGGTGGCCAAAAATGTCCCCGAATGATCCGAAAATGTGTTTTCGACGCTAAAAATACTTTTGGGTATGGCTTGGCATGCCGACTGTGGCGCCTGCGGGCGCAAGCAAGAAGCGTGAGCAGTAGGAAGGAGAGCAAGCAGTACTTCGGTGGCCCAGAATGCAGTTCACACTCCCCGAATGATCTGAAAAGGTGTTTTCGACGCTCCAATATTACTTTTGAGTATGTTTGGCGTGCCGACTGTGGCGCCTGCGGGTGCAAGCAAGAAGCATGAGCAGTAGGAAGGAGAGCAATCGGTGGCCCAGAATGCAGTTCACACGTGGCGCCTGCGGGTGCAAGCAAGAAGCATGAGCAGTAGGAAGGAGAGCAATCGGTGGCCCAGAATGCAGTTCACACTCTCCAGTGATCCGAAAAGGTGTTTTCGACGCTCCAAAATTACTTTTGGGTATGGTTTGGCATGCCGACTGTGGCGCCTGCGGGTGCAAGCAAGAAGCATGAGCAGTAGGAAGGAGAGCAATCGGTGGCCCAGAATGCAGTTCTTGGATGGGCGCGCTGCTTGCTATGTAGTTGCTGGGCTTGTTATCTACATAGCAGACATGTTATCTTACGTAGTGGACTTGCCACAAGTGCGCTAAGTAGGAAAAAACGTACTTAGCTAAGTTCAACTTAGCGAGCTGGGTCAGGCCTGCTAAGTACAACTTAGCTAAGTAGGATAAGTCCAACCGGCTCCCACGGTTTAAGTTCTTTTTGGAAGCAATGGCTTTTTGAACACGTCGCCCAACTTGATTGTTTTCGCAACTGGGGCGGAAGTGTCGCAAAACGCGGGACTGGCTGTGTTGCTTTCAATCGTACCACATCCATTGTGTATAACTCTCGGCGCGAGTTGAAACGAGCCACTCAGTCACACTCAATACTCCCAAAGCCCCGCAAGACAAATAATTAGAAGCACATGTCTCAGCTCGGATTGAGCCAGCATGCACTTGGTTTCTCCAAAAGTGCAACTCCAAGGACAATTTTTTACACAGCCTTAGTTCTTCAACGTTGGTGTCTCCCCAAGTGAAACCCCAGCAGCTTGCCTATATTCTCTATAGCCCCGCGAGTACGGTTAAACGCTTTATAATTATTTTGGTTTTCTTTAGATTTACGTTTTGGGCCCGCACCTTGGATGCTCAACCAGCTCAAAAGATAGATTGCCTCAAACCCCTGCCATATAGCTAGAGCCTTCATAGAAATGGCTATAACCTATACTTGTACGGTTGGTTGGGTGTCTAAGCAAAGCCCAACACTTTATAGCCATATAGGGAGCACACCATGAAGTGGTCATCTATATATAGCCCTCAACGGTCTTCCTCAATAGCCCTCTTGTGTAATCAGTCACAATCGTTTATAGGTTGCAGTGGCCCCCCAAAGCTTGCTATGGCTTGTATAAACAGTACATGCAGAAGGGTCAAAATAAAACCATTAGGGGCCAGCAGGTTTTAGTCCAGGGTTCCCTTTACCAGGGTTCCATTTTAGGTGCCTATGTTTGACCCACAGCCAAACTGGCGGCGCCGCTCTGGCGCCAGCTGCGGCAGCCTGCACGCAGGCTGGATGACGAATCGGTCGGCAAGGGCACGCAGGGTGAGTTAAGGGGGCCCCATCGATTTTTGGACTATGTGTTTTGGTCTGAGGTAGTGGTCAAACAAACAGCTTTGGGGTTGGAAACAGACGCTTTGCCATGCAAATAACACGTGGTTAGCTGTCAAAGCTATACTGTCTTTGCCCCAACCAGAAATGTTGTGTTTGAAAGTTTGGTTGGGTGGGTGGAAGCTGCTTTTGTCTGAGGACACCCTCTTGGGAATTCTTTCGGAACATTGGGAGGTCTCAAACAACAACTGGTCCCACATTGCACAGGACATAAACCATGCGATAATAGGTACGTGCAGAAACAAAGCAACGGTTTGCTCACAAACCCTACACTTGGATGTGTTTTGTGTAGTGTAAACATCATGGTTCAATGTTATGAACACTGTCGCATACGCCCACGATGTCACCATGTTTTAATCCTTTACTCAGCCCTTCATGTGATTCTCTATAGCGGCTTAAACCATGCATGTGTGTCCAACCAATTATAATGTATGAGTCAGAATAGTATAGGAACCTGCAAGTCTCAACTGGTTAGGGGTCATGATTTAGATTGGGCGGCGGCAGATTTGCGGGGACTTTGACGGGCCTTGCAATAGGGTGTAGCTTGATGAAGACTGGGCACCACAAACTCCAAACCCGACATGTGTAGCTATTGGAAATGCAAAGGAACCCCCAAACACCAAATAGAGTTGATTTCGGGCCAAGGGATGGAATGCGTCGAGTTGGGGAGGTGCGGGGGCTGGTGGGGGGGGAAGGGCTGGGGAGGGAGGAGAACTTTGACCCTTGCCACACACCATGAAAAGTAAATGGCAGGGCTGCGCGAAGCTTGCAGCTATAGGGCTTTTTCACAGCTCACGGTGCCACACTTGCGTGCACCATGTCCTTGTGTACTCGATAAACACAAGTCCTAGACACGTTGACGGTCTCGACCCACGACGGCGCATCCAGCATCTTGAAAACATTTCTGCCCAGGGCGTGCCACTTTGCCAACAAAGTGAAATGAGCGCCGGAGATGGATACATGAAACCACACCATGCCAATAAATTTGCCTTCGTCAGAAGAATGGGCAAGGACCACATCACCCCTGGCGCACAGCTCTCCATGCTTCAGCATGGCTTCCAAAGATGCGCTGACCTGAGCTTGAGCATCTTCGCCCAGAAACGTCCTGATGCTGCTGGCGATGTCACTGGACGCGTCTTGTGGAGCCACCAACTGCACGCCCCCCACTGCGCTGAACTCCTTCAAGTGCAGCAGCTGCGAAAGCACTGCCTGAGACAGCAACGACTTCTCAAAGGACAAGCTCTTGTTGGCGTTGGCCAGCTGGTTGCCGTGCCGCTTCACTTCCTTATGCTTACGCTCGTGCGTCCAGCACGCGACCAAGCGGCCGTGAGAGTCCACAAACGAGGGAAAGTGCAACGCATAGTGACACTTGGGCGTAAAAGCAGATGGTCCGTAGACCAGAAGTCTCCTCTGCAAGTGGGCGCTGATGGCTGCCCTAAGCTCAGAGCTGTCTACCGAATGATTTCGAAGTCGCACAAGCAAGTCCAAAACCCTGCTTAGCGCGTAGTACGACTGCACCGCAGGCGCAACGCTCGCATCAGGAGCCTCAAGCGTCTCCATCAGAAACAGCCTCAACAAGGGGTACAGGGTCAGCCCTTCCGAGGCCGATGTCTTGACGTCGGACGAATCGGTTGCTGTTCTCTTCTTCAGCGCCTGTTTGCCTGTCACACCGCGCGAGCTCAGGGATTTTGGCCACACACAGCTTTGAAGCCAAGAGTCAAAAGATACGCAGTTCGCAGCCGTTCCCGCCAGGGCACCAAACAACAGGCCCGCCTCCGTGTTCCAAATTCCAGACACGAGGAAGCAATGCATCCAGTCGTACTGGGTGCATGTCAATGGCCCGCCTCCACTCATGTCATTGAAAAGGCCATTGCTCCACAACGCGCCCTCTGGGCTGAAGGTCAAGCCCACGCTTTGCTCCAAAGAAGTGAAGGCCGTCTTGGAAAGGGCTGGCTTCCTCCGGAGCAGCAAGGAAGCTGCCTCCAGCAAGGTCTCATTTGTATGTTGCACAACTGCATCAAGAGTTGAGACCGTCAAAGGCACCAGACTGCCGGAGTCGTCGTGCTCGTGCAGTTGCGACGACCAGCTGCATACATTTCGACAAAAGAAACAGGGCAATGTTGCAGAAGCCCCTCGGAAACTCCAAAGCTGTTTCAGGGCAACTTCATCAGCTACCACAAGGCCCAGTTGCCCAAAGAACATCGCCGAGCTCTGGCCGATGGAAAGCATGACTCCGTCCCTCAGGCTGGTAGGCGCCGTGAAAAAGAGGCGGGTCAATTGCTTGAACAGTTGCGATATGCCGCACTTGATGTCCTTGAGAAAGGAAACGCGCAGGCAACATAAATGAAACCACACCGATTCAGATCCCAGGGCGCTGTCAAATTCACACCAGCTCCAGTAAAAGGAAATAAATTTCCTGAGGTTCGTAGCTTTCAGAGCATTTCCGGGTAGCACTTCATCTGCATATAGTGCTACATTCCAGCGGCTGCGCGCTGAGTTAGGATGCTCACCAAGTTTGTGAGCCAAAAATCGGGCGAAGCCCGCGCATTCAGATGCATGCAGCCACAGCATTGGCATCGGGAGAGCCACAGGAAATTGTCTTTGTCCACCTGCTGTTGTCTCCACTGTCACGTGTCCCCAGAGAGGTCCTAGAGGCGTAGTGTCTGGGAGGGCTGCATCGCGGGCACGCTTGACACTCTTTCTGCTGAAGGACGCTGGCAATCCATCGTCGCGCACTTTGCGAAGGATAGACACCAGCGCGCTTTGCGACACATACGGTCCCTGGCAGGTGGATACGAAAATATCACGAGAGCTCCCGGCCATGAGAGGCACGCGAGCTCATTGCCCTGCGCGCTGCGAGCTCCTATGAGCCCTGCACTTGCAGATCCATGTCAGAACAGGGTGGGGATGCTGCAACGGCAATCGGTATAAGCTTGATCCTGCGCACGCACATCTTGGACTGATTGGGTGTCCATGTTCAACTGAAGCCCTACAAAGAATTAAACAGTTTCACCCTAAATGCTTCGCGGCTGACACATCTCACCATGCGTGGGGTCTGCAACAAGAAGCAGGGCTTCCAGCTCGCTACGTAGGGCATGCAAGCAGATCGACAATCCAGAAGCTGTCCGTGATTGGATTGACTGAGTGCCAAGGTTCAACTGAAGAGCCTATAACGTATTGAGAAAGAAGCCCAGCATTGCCACCCTGAATACTTTGCTCCTGACACATGTAACCACGCATGGGATCCGATAGAACAAGCAGGGCTTCCAGCTCGCCATGATCTGTTGACAATTCAAAAGGAAAAAGCAGGGCTCTACAAAGCTCGCTTCTGCAGGGCTAGTAGCTCGCAGTGAATTCACTCGAGGAGTTGCCAAAAAAAGTTTGTTTCCAGCTATGCTTTTGCAAGCTCTCCGTGATGTGTGCTCAAAACAACCCTGACCATTCCAGAAGCAGCACGAATACAGTTGAGATGCATGTTATGATGGATACGTGTCTTGACCATGCATAAGGTCATGTTTACCACAACCCAGACAACTTTAGGGGCTTCTCTGAACTAGTTCCCACAGAGTTCGTGGTTATTCAGTAGAGGACCTTTATAAACGCGGCTCAGGGCATGCATCAACTCCCTTTTCGCACCAGGACGGGTCGATGTTTGGTACGGCAACCCCTGTAGCCCTACAACCCCTGTCAGGAGCTGCGATCGCACTGCCAGTCAACAAACGAATGCTTCAAGTACATTTCCAGGCATTGCAGTTCTGGAGTTTGGGACGTGTGAAGGTTGTCTGCAACATTTACTTGTGCCATGTACTAAACAAGCTTATGTTGGTACAAACATGCATGACTCACAAGACCCCTGTGCGCAAAAGCTCTTAAACATACATAGGCTTGTTGGCAGCAGTGACGCCCCACACCTATGAACAGGCTACCACTCACCCTTCTCGATGGCCTTCAGGCAATTGAGCCAGCGCTCAGCAGGGTTGTCGCCCCACTTGACCTTCCTGTCGACCCTGTCGGTGGAGCGAAGAAAGACACGCCAGCATTTCTCTTTCCCGGACGTGTGAATCTTCCCCTGCTCATACCAGATTGTCGGTGCGCCTTCATCCGGCATCTCGGGCTTACAGCGCTTGGTGTGGACAACCTTGCTGGCACCTGTTTTGGCAACAGTTTTGGCAACAGTTTTGGTAACTGTCTTGGCTGACGCCGCCTTGGCCTTTGCCTGCGCCTTGCCTTTTGCCTTTGCTTTGCCCTTCGCCTTAGGGGCAGGCTTCTTGACCTCATTAGCTTTCTTTCGGTCTGCGAGCGCTTTGAGGACAAGCTCGGACTGCTCTTCAACCCCAACAAGTGAGGGCAACTCCATGGGCTCCACCGTCTCGTCAGCTGCCGAGTTGGCAGCCTTTGCTGGGTCAGCCGCGCCTGAAGAACTTGCTTTCTGAGATGCATCTGGCAGGGTGTCATCCACCAGAGGCATCACCGGTTTGGCAGGTGCGGTCATGCTTGGTGTTCGAGCGCTACTTTGGCCGTTTGCTGCAGCCTTGAAGATGGTCAGCCCCTTGACCTGCCCTTCGGACTTCTGCTGTTGCTGGTTTGGCATGAACTGCTGGAGCGCACTGAAGATTGCCATGAGAGGGTCCATGTTCCCCCCGCTGGATGAGCTTGCTGACTGCTGGAAGGGCATGATGCTGTTGGTGTCCAGCCGCACCAGCTTGTTGCTGCGCCTCAGGGCAACTTGGCTGTCACACATTGCCACCCCAGAAGGCCCTCCAAGGGGTGGGTCAGCCTCAGTGTAGGCACCGGAGAAGATTGACTGTGGCAACTCACTGGGGTGCGCCGGGTACGCCACAATGTGTGGTTGGCAAGCACCCATTTTTTTGGCCTTGGTTTTGACGAGGCGCTTGAGCTCCAGGACAAAGGTGTACATTGTCTTGGCGTCCTCCGCGGCCAACCCTTTGCTGCGTGCCACAGCAAGGACATTCCTGTATGTGCTCTCAGTGGGGAGATGCAACCCGAGGTTTGTCATTCTCTGGGCAAGCACGTCTAGCTTGCTCAAGGAAGCCGCCGACCCATCCGCAAGCATGCCCAAGTCACCGGCAGTCAAGTAGGGCCCTATGTCATCCAGATTCTGGTTGGGCCGGCGCCTGGAACCTGACACACCGCTCGATGCGAGGAGGGACTGGTTCACTGCGGAGGATAGCTGCAGCTTCTCCTCGTCTGTCCACGGCCCAGTGCCAATCAGGCTTACCAGCGTGCCTGCCTCCGCCGCGGCCAGCCCGCTGATGCTGGCCAGCCTCAACTTCCAGTTGGCAGCCTGCTGGGAGCGGACGGGCTCAAAGTTGTCACCCAGGCAACCCTTCTGCACCACCAAGTACTTCTGCACCTCTCCCAGCTCGCCTCCCACAAGCTCGGCTGAGGTCATGGTCAATGGCGCACCAGCAACAGTCCTAGGGCAGCTAGTCTACATCCAGAGCCGGACAGGACAATGCATGACTCATGTTTCGCGAGCAATTGAGTGCCCTGCGTCAGCGAGCGACCGCCCTGCCTTTCCTTTTGACAAACTCTGTGGTCTCTGATCAAGCTCTTGCAAATTATTTGATGCAACATGCCATGCATGAATGAGTGCAGGCGCTTGCTCCCTCAAACGGCTGTTGACTACTGCCTATATGCCTGCCTCTTGCTATCACAGATGCATGGAACACGCTGGCGCAAACTGACATATTTTCAGTCTATGATCATGTGCAGTCCAAAGTCTGGGAAGGCTCGTGACTGCAGCCTACCCTTGATCACCATGGATGCGCTCACTACGGCACGCCGTCGTCCGAGGAGTCGCTGCGGAAGACCTGCTCAACCATGGCCACGTCCAGGATAGCTGGTGGAAAGCACGCCTCGTGAAGGAGCACTGTGGCCCGCGGCATCTTCTTGATCACCCGGCGTGTCGGCTTGCGCTGGGTGAATGGCGCCCACAAGACCGGGCACATGGGCGCGTGGCTGCGGCTGCCGATGAATCGCAGCTCTGTCTGAAGGCTGATCCTGCCCTTGCTGGCCAGCGTGTCCTTGCAAAGCCAGGCCAGAGTCGCCAAGTGGATCGGCGCCTGATTGGCATGGAACCCCACCCGCCTCACCACCTCGCCCCCACATGTGAGCGCCTCAACGAGCAGGGTGTGCGCCGATGGTTGATGCGCAGCGTTCACAGTCAGAATGACCGGCACGTTGGGGAATCCGCGCACCATCATGAAGTTTCCGGTCCTCCTGTGTACATACAGCATGCTGCGCACGTTTGACACGTCGTGCGTAGAGACGTAGTCCCACCGCAACACCGCCTGCCCACCAGGGTTCACCCAAATATCTGCATCCCCTGCCGCGATCCGCTGGACCTGCTTAGGCGGCAGCAGCAACCAGTCCCCCGGCTCGCTCCCTTGCGGCAGCGCGCTGCCGGGCTCAAGCACGGGCAGCTCCGTGCCCAGGAACATGTGCTCCCAAATGAGCTCGTGCGCCATTCTGGTCCAAGAAACCAAGCTCCTATAGTTCACAAGCCCGCGCCAATCAATCATCGGTGTGTTTGGTACTTGTAGGGTTTGTTTTTTGGTTTCAAGGGCATCCTGACGAATCCTGTCACACAAGAAGGGCCTGCTTTGCACATTGTCGTCCGGGGTCGGGTGTGTGTGTGACTCGAGCAATGTAGGAGCGTGTATGATGACATCCATGGTCAGTGAATGGACTATAGGAAGCACGTCAATCCTGTTCCACTTATCACTTTTCGCCTTCAAACAAGTCATGTATTCTTTCACCGGCCCTTTGAAGAGACTCACATCCGAACAATTCTATATTCGCCGCGCCCCTCGGTATGGTTTGAACCATTTGATATGGGTCACACAACAAGGTGAGGGCAAGGCGAACTGATGTGGCTTGCTTGGCAAGTGGGGGCTCTCAGAAGCAGTTGAAACTGTGGGCTGTGGACTATTTGGGAGACATGTCACTTGATGGATTTTAAACCTGGACCACTTAGGATGGGAAAGGCTTGTTTGGCAGGCAACTACAACTAGCTACAAACTCCCGCATCCGTGTGGACGTGATTGCCAATACACCATCAGTAGCCTATACCAGATAAGATGGACAACGCAATTGTGTGTTTGATAAGGAGAACAAGGCCAAGTGGAACAGTTGCACAGCTATGTTTCCCGTAGTCGAGTCATTAACCCTCAGTCCGCTGCTCAGCATCCAGTCCTCACCTTTTTTCCACAACTCTTTCATGGTCGGTGCGTCGCCGGCTCTGCAGGCTAGGTTCCCCATTCCGGTGGATCAGTCGGGGTTTGAGAACTCTTTGAATGCAGAATTGCATCGTGAGCCGACCCCCAAAACACACTATTGTTGTTGAATCATATTGTGAGGTGCCGGGCCAAACTCACACCAGTAATGAAACAGCTGAAAGGGTACTGGTGCAGACTCAGGTTAGCATTGAAACTCAGGTTAGTATTGAAACACATTAAAGTGTACCTGCCCGAACTCAGATTAGTATTGAAACACATTAAATTGTACCTGCCCAAACTCAGATTAGTATTGAAACACATTAAATTGTACCTGCCCAAACTCAGATTAGTATTGAAACACACTAAAGTGTACCTGCCCAAGCTCAGATTAGTATTGAAACACACTAAAGTGTACCTGTCCAAACTCAGATTAGTATTGAAACACACTAAAGTGTACCTGCCCAAGCTCAGATTAGTATTGAAACACACTAAAGTGTACCTCCCCAAAATGGTACCCACCCAAACTCAGACTAGTCTTGAAACACATGAAATGGTACTTGGCCAATCTCAGAAACGTGTTGCGACGCATGTTGGGGTTCTGAGAGGGAACCCAGTGCCCGCGCCGGCTTTGTCGCCGATTCCTGCTGCCCTGCGCTGGCCAGGGAGGTGCACGAGATGCTTCTCATGTGGTTTGGGGTTGGGTTTCAAGGGCCGCCGCACCCCCCTAGCCCCATTGGCCCAAAACTAAAACTGCAAAGGTCCTCCCGACGAAAAAGGCATATTCATGCCCGTCAGGGCCCAATTAAGGCCTACCAGTGAGACGCCCGGGCCAAGGAATGCTGAGTGGTGGATGCATGTGTGCTGCATGTGTGCTGATGCTATGCTTAATCATCATGTGTGTGTGTGTGGGTGTGTGTGTGTGTATGTGTGATGAGTGCTGGCTGCTGGCAATGCTGTGGTTGCTGCATGTGTTTCCTTGGCCTCAGGGCAGCCTGTTGAGAACTACGTCCGCCATCTTGTTCATGGCCTTCCACGCGAGGGTGTTCTGCTCCTCCTGGGCCCGCTGCGTCGCCGCCTTGTCTGCCCCGCTGCCGCGAGTCCGCTTGCGTGCCCGGCCGTCTCCATACCTGAGACATCAAAAGACACAAGAAACGGCAGGGCAATTCAAAGCTCGCCTCTGCAGGGCTAACAGCTCGCAAGGGAATCATGATTGAGACCACATTACAAATGCATATTGCATTTCATCGGGACACAACTTGATGGGGGTGGTGATGATGATTCACGAAACAAAAGCATGACCAAGTCTTTGTCTCGTGGCTCGTGCACCTTGCCAGCAGCATCGCGATACCCTCCGTGGACATACTCACCGCCCTGGGTATCCTTGCCGCGCCCCTTGCTCTTTCCAAAGCGACCACCTCTGTAGATGGCGCGGCCGCGTGGCTCCCTCCAACCACCTGACCACCACCCACCTCCTTGCCACCCGCGTTGGCCGTCATCCTCTGCCTTGGCATGCCATGCAGCCTCGCTCCAGCCATCCGCCTCGGTCCAGTGGTCGCGCCCGTGGAAGTCCCGCTTCCTGTCCTGCACATCGTCGGTCCATGTGGACTCGCTCCGGCCCTCAGCCTCGGTCCAGCGGTCAGGCCCGTGGACGCTGTGGAAGTCCTGCCTCTTGTCCTGCACGTCGCTCTGCTTGTCCTCCGTGTTCATGCTGTCCGGCCAGCTCTCCGTGACCGGCCTCGCCATCCACCCCGACTCGTCTCGCTCTGTGTTGTTCCACCAACCATCTTCCTCCTTGGTCTGGTGCCACCATGCATCTCCTTCATCACGGGCCGGCTTGTCATGAGCTTGATCCTCTCCTGCATCACGACCTCGAGCTTCTCCATCTGTCCGCCCACCGTGATCCCCTCCTCCATGAGCCTCTCCAGGCTCTCCATCTGCTTGCCCACCATGACGTTCGCCGGTGTTGTGAGCCGCGCCATCGTGATCGCCCACCATGACGTCCGCCTGCATCGTGATCCTCTCCTCCACCTTGAGCTTCTCCATCTCCGCCGGTGCCGTGAGCCGCGCCGTGATCCTCTCCTCCACCTCGAGCTTCTCCATCTGCTTGCTGCCCACCATAAGCTCCGCCGGTGCCGTGAGCCGCGCCGTGATCCTCTCCACCTTGAGCGTCTCCATCTGCTTGCCCACCATAAGCTCCGCCGTCCTCTCCTCCACCGCGAGCTTCTCCATCTCCATCTGCTTGCCAACCATGACGTTCGCCGGTGCCGTGAGCCGCTTCTCCTCCACCTCCACCTCGAGCTTCTCCTTCTGCTTGCCCACCAGAAGCTCCGCCAATGCCATGAGGACGCACAGCTGGGCGTGATTTGGCAGTCGTACCAAGGTACTGAAACTCATGTGCACTGCCATCTCCTCCACCACCAGCTGGCCGCGCATCCAAATCTCCTTGAACAGCAGCTTCTGGTGGGTCGTACCCATCTCCCGTGGGCGCCAAGCCGCAATCCTTGCCATCGTGGCATGTAGTCCATGCTTCTGGAACGCGAGGCTCCGCAGCTTCTCCTGGTGGCTTTCAAGATCAACTGGAAGACGGCCCACAGCTTTCACAGGGTTGGGGTCTGTGTTTGTTTTGTGGCTACCCTTTGCGTCTTATGGGCTTCTTAGGTGACCATCACATGTACTGCATGATTTCAATTTGAGTGAGTGCTATGTTTCACAAACAAAAGGAGCTCCTGGACGAGATGCCGGCGGCGTGGGCGTCAGCGTGATGTCCGATGAGTCCTCCCCATCGTTGCCGCCCAGCTTGGCCTTGATCTCGCCGTCCGAGAACTCCTCCTCGTCTTCGCGCGCCCATTGTTCATCAGCCATGCCGGCGTGGGTGCGCTGTTGCCCTGTGTGCTGCAATGATGTGCCTTGTGTACCTGTGTGCGTGTGCTGCACCTGTGCTGGTTGGGAGTTGTTGTTGGTGGACCTGCTAATTAACCTCCTTGCTTTCTGCATGTCCTGTCTCGGTTGCTTTCTGCTCCCCTGCTAAAATTGCAACTCTTAGTGCCTGGAAACCCAGTTAGTTGGCAAAAAGTTAAAATCCTCACATCCAAACAATGCATGCATTTGAGCATCTCTGCGCACGGTCCACAACAAGTCTCATGCAGCCTCCCACACACAAGCACAACGCGTGGTAAGTTACAACCACACTCCATGCCCCAACAACCCCACCAAAAAAAACACCCCAAAGCAGCACCGCATGTTTTCCATATTCCTCAGCCGATCCTACCAAACTTCACCCTCAGCAGATCCTGCCAAACTACAACCCATAGCAACAACACATGCTTTTCCATGATCCTCGCCTGATCCCACCAAACTACAACCCAGAGCAACAACACATGATTTTCCATGATCCTCAACCGATCCTACCAAATTACAACCCATAGCAACAACGCATGTTTTTTCACCATTCGATGTTCATCAACCAAGCCTATACTCCAACTTCAACACCTGTACACAGCCGTAGCAGATCAAGTGCAAGGCTCCACAAGGTCCTCATCGCCTTGCCTCTTGGGGCTGAAACGCTTGCTACGCTTCTTTGGGCTGCCACGCTTCTTGGGGCTTCCACGCTTCTTGGGGCTTCCACGCTTCTTGGGGCTGCCCTGCTTCTTCTTGTTCTCCCGGGTGCGCCCAAACCTGCCCTCGGCATGCCCCTGTTGCACCAAAGCACGCATGTAGTACAGAGCGTCCGTGCGAAACTCAATCCAGAGGTCGGAGTCGTGCAGGGCCCAAATGGCTTTGCATGTGATGGGGCCGTAGCTGATCCCCTCATGCTCGAGCTGATCAAGGGTCAAAGTGACGTACTGCTTGGTGAGCAGGGCAGCGTCATCGTCTTTGACCTTGCGGCGCTTCGCACGGCCACCGTCGCCATCGCCCAGCGCCAGGACGCTCTTGACAGCTTCAGTGGATGCATCCCGGCGCTGCTTGATCAGGGCGTCAAAGCCTGCAACGTTGCAGGACCTGGTTCTCCCATGCCGGAGGTCCATTCCTCTGCCGAGGCAAAAAAAAACGAACGCCCTGTCGAACTTGTTGAGCCGGATGAAGTTGGTGCCATCGATCTCCCGGATCGACGGGAGCCACGGCTTCTTGCTCGCCTTGCCAGCGCCGCGAACAACCCAAATCTTCTCCAGGACCAGCTCCTCAGTCTCGGGGCCCTCCACATCCGAAGAAGAAGAGCGCGCCATGGTGGCACTGCAGCTACACTCGCGAGTCCAATGACCCTGCGTGCGCGAGTGAGTCACCCTGCGCTATTTGATGCCGGTTGATCCAAATGCTCTGGTTCGGTAAGTGCAACTTGCGTGTTTGGCTGACATTGAGAACCACACAGGCACAACATGCGATTCGGGAAGTGCAACTTGCGTGTTTGGCTGACATTGAGAACCGCACGGGCACAACATGCGCTGCTGATGCTTGTGCATCTGAGCTACCAGGGGCCTGGCAGTTGCCAGCGCTCTGCATCAGCGTGATGTCTATATAGTCACCTGCAATGAGAGGCTAGGGTTGAAATGGTTCACTGCGTAACTACCAGCCGGCACTGATGTCCAGTCAACCCATTGCGCATCCCTGCTTTTCATTGCTCATCTGGCAGGTCTCACCAACGTCGCTTGGATTCTCAAGCCCTTGCAGCACGGCCAAAATGGCACCACAGTAAGTTGGTATGTGGGTATTGGGAACTGAAGCTACTAACGGTTTGAGAAAGAGTGCAAATTTGTATGTGGGGGGGAGGGTTCTGGGAAGTACTTACTGACTGCAACTGTTCAACTGAAACCCCTAACGAGTTGAGACAGACCAATGTAAATTGGTTCATGTGGGGAGGAGGGTTCTGGTAAGTGCTGACTGCAATTGTTCAATTGAACCCCCAAACGTATTGAGAAAGAAAGCCAGCATTGCCGCCCCGAATACTTTGCTCCTGACACATGTAACCACGCATGGGATGCGATAGAACAAGCAGGGCTTCCAGCTCGCCATGGCAGGGCTCAGGAAAGCTCGCCTTGTTGATCTGTTGACAATTCAACAAGCAGGGCTCTACAAAGCTCGCTTCTGCAGGGCTAACAGCTCGCAGTGAAATCACCCGAGGAGTTACCGAAAATATCAAGCTATGCTTTTCCAAGCTTCAAAGCTTGCCATGGCTAATCCGTGCTCGCCGTGCTGCATGGCAGGGCATTGGGCTACCCTCTCTTACTCAGCCTGCTTGTGCCTTCGGCGCTTGGCAGGAGGCTCGGGATCATGAAGTGCGATCAGCTCTTCAACTTCCACTCGCTTGGCTTGCTTGGGGACATAGCAGCGAAGCTGCTCCCCAGCCTCAATGCGACGAGTGCTTTTCAACAATGGCACCTTGATGTTTGTGTTCTTAAAGTCGCGCTCTACCTCGTCTGTCAGAGCGCAATTGGCTTCTGACTGCTCGTTGGTGGAGCGCACAAACCAAAAGGGCGCCACAAACGCACGCCCGTCCCCCTTGTCTGGGATAAAGCAGGGCTGCAGCCAAAACACATCACTACCCTTCACGCGCCCCAAGCACACTGCGCTTTGGCCCCCATCCTGTTCGATGGGTTTGGCATCAATCTTCATGGACACTGGGACCAACACCAACCAGCCGGCTTCAAATGCGTGCGTGGCTATGACCGCCTTTTGCGGCTTAAACATCACCTTCAGGGCCTTGTACACAGCACAGTGCTTCTCTTCAAGACCCACCAGCTTCTTCAAGATGTCCGCTTTCGCCAGCGTGAGTCTCACCTCTGGCGAATGCTTGGCGGTCTGCTGGCGGAATTCAGTGAGTTCCTCCGCCTCTTGCGGTGGCTGGATCTTTTTCCATTGCTTGCTAAGCAATGCTGACACGCTCACTTGGGCTTTGCCGGATATCATTCCATCTTCGATGGCGAGCGTAACCTTCTCGCCCTCCATGGCCACTATCCTCGCCACGATCTTGTCCGTCTTTCGCTGAAGGTACTGCCCTTCCACGAAGCCTTCCTCTCGCAGCAAGCTGGCTTGCTGCTTCAAGGTGCCATCGGAGCTGAATTCCCGCAACCTTGATCGTTTCATACTTGACTCTCCAACCAATGGTTTTGAAAAACAATATTCATGTTAACCCAGGACATCTGCAGGGGGTGACAAGACCCTTCAATTCTATCAGGACAGACGACACTGCAGTTGCAGATACCTGGGCCGCGGCCTCCTTGAACTTGTCCCATTCCGTGGTCATGCGGATTCCACTGGCCTTTTCCACCAAATCGCACAACTTGCACATGGCTGCCTCCATTGTGCTGGGGCAATTGATGTCGCGATGCCTCTTGTCCAACGCAATCAGCACAAGCTCATGCTCGCAAGCCAGAAAGCAGGAGCTGATGGCCGGGTCGCTGGGAACTTGGCTGCTCTGTGGCAGCTGGCTGGCTTTCTGCATGAAGGAATTGGCCATGTCCACCTTAGCCTTGACATCCCTGTTGTGCATCTTCTTGGCGTCTGCCGCGGTCACAAACTTCTCCACTGGTACCGAGTAGGCTAGGCGAAGGAGAGCGTGACGGAACATGAGGCACTGGTTGGCCGTCGGCGGCTTTGTGTCAAGCGACAAGTTCTCGAAAAAGTCGGCTCCAAGCTGCCTGCCTGACACCGCGTGAGCCTTAATAAAGGACTCTGACCTCTGGAGCATGCCAGGGGCACCTGCACAGTACCTGAGGACGAAGCGAAACATCCACGGGGTTGCAGTCGAGCAAGCTGGCCTTGACCGAAGGAGCTGGGTTTTGAGAGTGGCCCAATCAACTGATTGGCCTGCAGCCTGACGGGCATCAATCGTGTTGGCCATCCGGTGCATGATTTGCAGTTCATGCTCACCCCTTGCCAGCTGCCCGCTGGAATTTGCCGCAGCCTGGATGAGGGGTCCAAGTTCAGGGAAAGCCTCCATTGCCTGGAGGCTTATGATCCGCCATGACACGCCTTCGTCGACAGCTCTAGCGAACTCTGCGTCGACCTGGCGCACCTGTTCCAGCGCCAATCTGCCACGGACGCAAAGATCGCCGTCTGTGTGTTCCGCACCAGCCGCAATGAGTCTCAAGGCTGCGTTTGTGTGCGAGCCAGCAAGGCTAGCAAACTTCAGCTGGTGCCGGGGTACGGAAGGCAACATGTAGCCGCTGTCCCGGGCGAGCTTTTCGTTGAACTGGAAGGTGAGCTCATCATCTGGAGAAAGCTCCACTGCTACAGCGTTGATTGCCCCATGATCAAACCCCACCTCCTTGATGGCGGTGATGAGTTCGGACACATCTTTCACAGAAAGTCCAAAACCGTCTCTGTTGTCCCGATGGCACCCCACCAAACCTGGCTGCACCACCTGTCTGCGGAGCAGTCCGTGCTTCTGCAGCACTCCGTAGACCCGCTGCGTTCCCTGGACGAGCGTGCCCGAGGAAGCGCCTTTGATCGCCTCCTCCAACTCCTTCTTGGCATCGGCTTCCAAAGGCATGGCAGTCGGGTGATCGAGGCTGAGCCAAATCTACAAGGTAAGGCAAATTTGAAGCGAGCTTAAAAGCCCTGCTTCCAGCGAGTCCACGTGTCACGGGGACCCTGCTGCTCGTTCTTGACAGAATTTAATTGCTCACATTCCCCTCATCCCCCCACTCCCACACACACACATACACAAACACACGCGCACACACACACAAACACACACATACATACATACACACACACACACACTTACCACTTGTTTCCCGGGGCCTGCTTTGCTATGAAGTCAACATTTGATACGGTGTCATGAATTCCAAAAGAGATTCAGCTTCCTTTCCAACACATGTTGAAGATTTGGCTTAACACGTTTGCAATAGCAAATCAAGGATAGATCAACATGCAGTTCATGTAAGATACCCCTGGGTTCCTCAAGCCCGTTCCTGGCAAAACAATGGTGCACCGGCCAAAAGGATACGATGCGCAAAACGATGCAAAGCCACAAGCACCCCAAAAACGTCGATAACTACATAAAAACTCGAAGACAAGTGATTTTGACCGTACCTCCCAAACACATAATGGGGCTGTGTTTGTTTCTCAGGCGCCTTTTGTTGGAAGGGGGTACATACTTAAGGTAGTCGCAATTTTGGAGGGGTCCCCTATTCTGACATAAAACAAATTGGGGGGGGTGATCCAAAGGTCCCACAAACGAACAAACCCATCCCTCCTCCCCAAAGTCAGTACTAAAAAGATGATGTGTCCCACAAGATAGGAAACACTATTCCCATTGTCATTTTGGGGGGGCAGAATATTGATCAACCCCATATATTATAGTACATATTCCCCGGACCCCCGAACCCTGCAACCCTGGGCTGGCCCTGTCGATCGACGGCTCGGCCTGCAGGCTGCCGCAGCTGGCAGGCGCGCTGCAGCGCCCGCTTTGCCAGGGCGAGCGGGCGCAGCGTGGCCGGGGTCGGATTGTTTGTTTTTTCAATGGGGCACCCCTTTAAAACCACCACAAAACAACACATCAAAAAACACAAAAAAAAACAGACACAGACATCTACATACAGGGTATAGGTTTCGGGGGTATCCAGAAGGGAAGTTGATGGTTGGGATATGGGTTCTTTTTTTCTCATGGGCCCGCTATTTATAAAATGAGCTTTCGTTTCGGCAACCTTTTATCCCACCCAAAAAGGACACCTTCCAAAAAACACGCACATGAAGCAGGTATATAAACAGTTTCGGGGGTATGAAAAACTCATGCACCAAGTCAAGTGTTCTAGAATTGTATTTCCCGTCCTTATTTCAATCAAACAAGAAAATATGCGAGATGGAATGAACACCACCGAACAATGTGAACCAGAAGGGAGGCCTATTTTGCGCAAGCAACCCTTTTAGAAAGTTCATTGAACAAGTTCTTGTCAAAAAATGCTTCGGCTAGCGAGCGCAACTATATACCTTCTCCTACATATAAATCTTGACAGGGTGCCTCTGCAACTTCTATGTATACAGGGGGACGTGTTTTTCTGTCTCTTGCCGCGCTTTCCGTGTTTTGCCGTACTTCCCGTGTGCAATTGACGTGTGTCCCCACATGTGTATTTGCCACGCTTACATGTGAGCTAAGTTGGACTTAGCGAACTTAGCGGTATGTCCGCTAAGTCCGTTAACTAACATATCGGCTGGGGCTCTAACCTACTTATCATACATAGGGCTATGTGACGTAAGTTTACGGCTATGTACCGTATCTACATAGCCGTAAACTATCCAGATACTACATACACCGATATAGATAGCATATCCAACAACACGAACGCCCTACTTGCACAACTTACAAAGTTCAATAACAATGTGTTAGCCAACTTATATGTTCAACTTGTCGAACTTACGCAAGTGCCGCATGTGCCGTAACTACATAGCAAGCAGCGCGCCCATCCAAGTTCACACTTTCCGAGTGATCCGAAAAGGTGTTTTCGACGCCGCAAAATTACTTTTGGGTATGGTTTGGCATGCCGACTGTGGCGCCTGCGGGTGCAAGCAAGAAGCATGAGCAGTAGGAAGGAGAGCAATCGGTGGCCCACAATGCAGTTCACACTCCCCGAGTGATCCGAAAAGGTGTTTTCGACGCTCCAAAATTACTTTTGGGTATGGTTTGGCATGCCGACTGTGGCGCCTGCGGGTGCAAGCAAGAAGCATGAGCAGTAGGAAGGAGAGCAATCGGTGGCCCAGACCAGAGTGATCCGGAAAGGTGTTTTCGACGCTCCAAAATTACTTTGGGTATGGTTTGGCGTGTCGACTGTGGCGCCTGCGGGTGCAAGCAAGCAAGCATGAGCAGTAGGAAGGAGAGCAATCGGTGGCCCAGAATGCCGCCGAAATTGCTGCACGCCTTGCTTTTGTGGTTGCCGGAAGGGCCAAACCATACCCACAAGCCAGCCAAACCATACCCACAAGCCACTGAACACTCAAGACGCGCCTATTGGGTGCTTTTGACCAAAGCTACACTCCCCGGCTTGTTGCTCAAAACTGCGTTCCCCGGCTTGCTATTTGGAGGTTGCTGGAAGGGCCAAACCATACCCAAAAGTAATTTCGGAGCGTCGAAAACACCTTTTCGGATCACTCGGAGAGTGTGAACTGCATTCTGGGCCACCGATTGCTCTCCTTCCTACTGCTCATGCTTCTTGCTTGCACCCGCAGGCGCCACAGTCGGCATGCCAAACCATACCCAAAAGTAATTTTGGAGCGTCGAAAACACCTTTTCGGACACTCGGAGAGTGTGAACTGCATTCTGGGCCACCGATTGCTCTCCTTCCTACTGCTCATGCTTCTTGCTTGCACCCGCAGGCGCCACAGTCGGCATGCCAAACATACCCAAAAGTAATTTTGGAGCGTCAAAACACCTTTCGGATTCAATCGGGGGTGTGAACTGCATTCTGGGCCACCGATTGCTCTCCTTCCTACTGCTCATGCTTCTTGCTTGCACCCGCAGGCGCCACAGTCGGCATGCCAAACCATACCCAAAAGTAATTTAGAGCGTCGGTAAAACCCCTTTCGGATCACCGGGGAGGTGTGATCTGCCTTCTTTTGCCACCGATTGCTTCTCCTTCCTACTGCTCATGCCGTCGCCACAGTCGGCATGCCAAACCATACCCAAAAGTAATTTTGGAGCGTCGAAAACACCTTTTCGGATCACTCGGAGTGTGAACTGCATTCTGGGCCACCGATTGCTCTCCTTCCTACTGCTCATGCTTCTTGCTTGCACCCGCAGGCGCCCACAGTCGGCATGCCAAACCATACCCAAAAGTAATTTTGGAGCGTCGAAAACACCGTTTTCGGATCACTCGGAGGTGTGAACTGCATTCTGGGCCACCGATTGCTCTCCTCCCTACTGCTCATGCTTCTTGCTTGCACCCGCAGGCGCCACAGCCGGCATGCCAAACCATACCCAAAAGTAATTTTGGAGCGTCGAAAACACCTTTTCGGATCACTCGGAGGGTGTGAACTGCATTCTGGGCCACCGACTTGCTCTCCTTCCTACTGCTCATGCTTCTTGCTTGCACCGCAGGCGCCACAGTCAGCATGCCAAACCATACCCAAAAGTAATTTTAGAGCGTCGGAAACACATTTTCGGATCACTCGGGGAGTGTGAACTGCATTCTTTGCCACCGATTGCTCTGCTTCCTACTGCTCATGCTTCTTGCTTGCACCCGCAGGCGCCACAGTCGGCATGCACCAAACCATACCCAAAAGTAATTTTGGAGAGTCGAAAACACCTTTTCGGATTACACGGGGAGTGTGAACTGCATTCTGGGCCACCGATTGCTCTCCTTCCTACTGCTCATGCTTCTTGCTTGCACCCGCAGGCGCCACAGTCGGCATGCCAAACCATACCCAAAAGTAATTTTGGAGCGTCAAAAACACCTTTTCGGATCGTTCGGGGGGTGTGAACTGCATTCTGGGCCACCGATTGCTCTCCTTCCTACTGCTCATGCTTCTTGCTTGCACCCGCAGGCGCCACAGTCGGCATGCCAAACCATACCCAAAAGTAATTTTGGAGCGTCGAAAACACCTTTTCGGATCACTCGGGGAGTGTGAACTGCATTCTGGGCTACCGATTGCTCTCCTTCCTACTGCTCATGCTTCTTGCTTGCACCCGCAGGCGCACAGTCGGCATGCCAAACCATACCCAAAAGTAATTTCGGAGCGTCGAAAACACATTTTCGGATCACTCGGGGAGTGTGAACTGCATTCTGGGCCACCGATTGCTCTCCTTCCTACTGCTCATGCTTCTTGCTTGCACCCGCGAGTGATCCGAAAAGGTGTTTTCGACGCTCCGAAATTACTTTTGGGTATGGTTTGGCATGCCGACTGTGGCGCCTGCGGGTGCAAGCAAGAAGCATGAGCAGTAGCAAGGAGAGCAATCGGTGGCCCAGAATGCAGTTCACACTCCCCGAGTGATCCGAAAAGGTGTTTTCGACGCTCCGAAATTACTTTTGGGTATGGTTTGGCATGCCGACTGTGGCGCCTGGAGAGTGTGAACTGCATTCTGGGCCACCGATTGCTCTCCTTCCTACTGCTCATGCTTCTTGCCTGCACCGCCAAACCATACCCAAAAGTAATTTTCGAGCGTCGAAAACACCTTTTCGGATCACTCGGAGAGTGTGAACTGCAGCACTCTTGGAGCTCGGGCTCTTCTCCAAAGCCTTCCGGATCACAGATCTGCTCGGGCAAGTGAGGCCTTCCCATCCTCCTGCAGCAGCAGATCTTTGAGGAGCAAGCGCAAGCCCGCCAAGGCGTCCGCGGCCTGGCCCGTTGCGGGCCCTTTGTGTGCGCGGAAGGATGTGCGCTGAAGGAGCTGCGCGTGTGGTTGAAAAAGCAAACGCACTATAGGTAGGCCTCACATTGGCTGCTCCGGGACGTTCTCGGAGTATCGATAGGGTGTCGTTTTGGGTATCGTTCTGGGCGCGTGTAGTGTCACGAAAAAAACAAACTTGCTATAAGCTAGAGCCAAGCAAGCGCACA